AAGGGAACCACTGACCGCATAGGGAAGCTGATGAGGAAACACAACATACAAACAATCTACAAACCCACCAAGAAAATCCAACAAATGCTATGTTCAGCAAAGGACAAGAGGGATCCTCTCACCTCTGCAGGAGTCTACCGTATACCATGCAGCTGTGGACAAGTCTACATAGGGACCACCAAACACAGCACCCAAACACGAATCAAGGGACATAAAAGGCACTGCAGACTACTTCAACCAGAGAAGTCAGCCATAGCAGAGCACCTGATGAACCAGCCTGGACACAGCATATTATTTGAGAACACAGAAATGCTGGACCACTCTAACAACCACCATGTCAGACTACACAGAGAAGCCATTGAAATCCACAAGCATGTGGACAATTTCAACAGAAAGGAAGAAACCATGAAAATGAACAAAATCTGGCTACCAGTATTAAAAACTCTAAAATTATAACAGCAAAACAACAGAGAAGAAACAACCAGGCACATCTTAACACCTCCCAGCAAGAGATTTTCCCAGGCTCAGGCAAGCCTTCAAATGCTAATGAAGGTGATCAGCTGAAACATTCACACGTAGCTCCAGCAAGGAAGAGCTCCTTGCCCCACCCCAGCCATTCCACAGATATATAAACCTTTGTCCTAATTCCAACAGACCTCACTACCTCTGAGGATGCTTGCCATAGATGCAGGCGAAACGTCAGGAGAAATGTCTCTAGAACATGGCTCTATAGCCCGAAAAAACCCACAAGAACCTAGTGAATTTAGCCATGAAAGCCTTCGACAATACATCGATTTCTTCTCTCCTCGTGATATCCAATCTAAAGAAGCGCCCACTGAAAGCTATCAAAATACCTGCCCCATAAGAGCAGCTGACCTCAACAAGGATGTTGACGCAATGCCAAATTCCATGCAAATAGGCATTAACATTAATTCTCTGTTAAAAGCTGGGGTTTATTTTGGCTCCGGTGACAGAGCCTTCCTAGCCAAAGAAGTTAGTCACTGTCTGGAACAAAATCCCTCGCTTTTCCCTCCAAAGAAGGGAACTGTTAGAGGATTCCTGGAAGTTCTGTACCATTTAATTTGCTTGCTGGTCTTTGTGAGTGGAACTGAGCTTTATTTTGTTTCCCTTTTCTTCATTTGATGCCTCTTTTAGACTGGTTCGCATTAAGAGGGTACATCTACACCGTAGAATTAATCCAGTTTGATACTACGTTGATTGTTATGACTTAATGCTATGGAATCTTGGGAGTTTACAAGATCTGTAACCTTCTGGTGATACCTCGCCAAACTATAGAATCAAAGAGTTGGAAGAGACCTCATGGGCCATCCAGTCCAACCCCCTGCCAAGAAGCAGGAATATTGCATTCAAATCACCCCTGACAGATGGCCATCCAGCCTCTGTTTAAAAGCTTCCAAAGAAGGAGCCTCCACCACACTCCAGGGCAGAGAGTTCCACTGCTGAAGGGCTCTCACAGTCAGGAAGTTCTTCCTCGTGTTCAGATGGAATCTCCCAGGGTTCCATAGCATTGAGCCATGGCAGTGAAAGTGGTATCAAACTGCATGAAATGCACAGTGCAGATGCACCAGTTGAAGGGTATATAGAAATAACATATTTGACAAGGGGCTCTGATCTACAAGGGCCGTTCATTAAAGATTTCCCGACCCACTTCTATTTATCACAGGATGCTGAAACTGAACATGTGTAATGATATAAGTGTCTATAGGTTACGTGCCAATTTACAACTCAGAACTGATAACGGTCTTGATTTTAAAGGTGCTGAAGTGGAGTGAGGTTTGAGAATGGACCCAAGGAACACAGAGCAGTCCTCAAGTTCCTTTACTTGAAAGGCCGCACACCAAAGGAGACGTTCGATGAGATGAAAGAGGTTTATGGTGATGATTCCCCATCATATGATGTAGTCAAGAACTGGCATCGTCTATTCCAATGTGGTCGGGCTTTGGAAGAAACAGCTCCAATTCCAGGGCGACCCCACTCTGCTATAGATGAACACACCATCCTGCAAGTTGAGATGACCATTTTGGAAAATCGCCATGCAGCCATTCACCACCTAGCCCCAAATGTCAAGATTAGTGTGGGGTCCATGGAAAAAATTACCCAAGACCATCTTTACATGCTTATGGTATCCTCTCACTGGGTCCCCTAAATGCTCACGCCTTTTGAGAAGCAGGAACGAGTCGAATGCTCTCAGGCTCTATTGACGATGTGCCATGGAAACCAGGAGGACTTTTCAACAGACTGATCACACAGGATGAAAGCTGGGTCCATCACTATGATCCTGAGACTGAAGTCCAGTTGATGCCATGGAAGCATTATGACTCACCGCCTCCAAAGAAGGCACGGGCCCAACTCTGGGCAAACAAGGTCGTGCTCACAGTATTTTAGGACCAGCATGGAGTAGTATTTATTTATGTATTATTTACGAGATTTATATGCCGCCCTTCTCACCTCGAAAAAGACTCAGAGCGGCTTACAAGATATATATACATCTATATATATATAAATGCTCTGCGCATAATGAGTACCTTAAAAACAAAAGAACCAATGAACGAAATCACACCAAATTTGGCAACAAAACGTCTCACAACACAAGGAGTGACCATCACTCAAAAAATTATGATTTTGTCATTTGGGAGTTGTAGTTGCTGGGATTTATAGTTCACCTACAATCAAAGAGCATTCTGAACTCCACCAATGATGGAATTGAACCAAACTTGGCACACAGGACTCCCATGACCAACAGAAAACACTAGAAGGGTTTGGTGGGCATTGACCTTGAGTTTGGGAGTTGTAATTCACCTACATCCAGAGAGCACTGTGGACTCAAACAATGATGGATCTGGACCAAACTTGCCACGAATATTCCATATGCCCAAATATAAACACAGATGGAGTTTGGGGAAAATAGACCTTGACATTTGGGAGTTGTAGTTACTGGGATTTATAGTTCACCTACAATCAAAGAGCATTCTGAACCCCACCAACGACAGAATTGGGCAAACTTCCCACACAGAACCATGACCAACAGAAAATATTGTGTTTTCAGGTGGTCTTTGGCAACCCGTCTGACACCCCCTTGTAACTACCACCCCTCCCCGGGGTCCCAAACTCCAGGTTGAGAAATGCTGCGTTAAGGCCATCCAGTCCAACTCCCTTCACCAGGGCAAGAAAGGGCTATCCAGCCATTCACACACACACATATGTATATGACAGATGAAGTATCATACATTTGAAAGGGACCCCTAAAGAAGGACAGTGATATTTTACATGTTCCAGAGTAGGCAAACCAGACACTCTCCACATCAACACTGACAAAGAAACAACAAGAAATACTGTTTACCCACAAGCAGAAAGAAATTACATATTAGAAACCAACACTTTCTCATTACTTTATTTTCCACATCATCAGACTGGGCCACAGCAATGCCTGGCAGGGGACCAGTAGTACAATATATTATATTATTAGCATAATACAATATCAGTATTAAATATTACTATATTGTATTATACCATTATATTGCAATATTATTAGTAATATTGCATGTAATATAAATATATAATTATATTATTATTAGTATTACATTGCATTACATTATAATATTATAAATATTATGTGTATATACAATATATTATATTATATTACATTATATCATATTATTAACGGAGCCCCCAGTGGCGTAGTGGGTTAAACCCCTGTGCCGCCAGGACTGAAAACCGACAGGTCGCAGGTTCGACTCCGGGGAGAGGCGGATGAGCTCCCTCTATCAGCTCCAGCTCCTCATGCGGGGACATGAGAGAAGCCTCCCACAAGGATGATAAAAACATCAAACATCCGGGCGTCCCCTGGGCAACGTCCTTGCAGACGGCCAATTCTCTCACACCAGAAGTGACTTGCAGTTTCTCAAGTCGCTCCTGACACGACAAAAAAAAAACCTGACATAAAAGCTTTCCTTTTCACAAAGTTGTGTGTTTCTTCTTCATTTTTCCTTCCCTGCTTGCTGAATACTGAATACCCATCTTTTCATGGCAATTTTTATTGGAAGTGTGGAAGCATAAAGCATTGGAAGTCTCACATAAACCGGTCTGCCTGTGTCTCCAAGCAATTGGTGCATAACTGGTTAAGACGAGCAAAGATCAAGATCTTGGCATTGTGGTCGACACCTCAATTCTAACAGGAAGCCACAAAAGGCCAACATAAATGGGGTTTATTTCCCAACTATTATGAAAAATGGACCTCGGTACAAATAAATAAATCTAATATTGTAATAATCTTTATGATGTTTTGGAGTTCGTTGTTGTTTGCATGCAGATGATGTACAACACTATCACTCCTTTCCATCTGCTGCTAAGGTCAAAGAATATTTAGTATAATACCAATTAGTATAAGAATATTTAGTATAATGCCAATTTTTTAAACTTTGTGTTTTTTAAAATACATTACAACTGATGGCGGATGAGCTCCCTCTATCAGCTCCAGCTCCTCATGCGGGGACATGAGAGAAGCCTCCCACAAGGATGATAAAACATCAAATCATCCAGGCGTCCCCTGGGCAACATCCTTGCAGACGGCCAATTCTCTCACACCAGAAGCGACTTGCAGTTTCTCAAGTCACTCCTGACACGACTATATATATATAATTAACATAGCACAGGAGACAAGGTGGAACTGTCCCCTGACCTCTCTTTTCACTCTGCCCCAGAGCGGCAGTTGGTGCTGGGGGAAGGGGTCCCCAACTGATGATATATGCAGGAGACAAGATGGAACTGTCCCCTGCCCCCCTTCTCTCATTAGAAACCAATGCTTTCTCATTACTTTATTTTCCAGATCACCAAACTGGGCCACAGCAATGCGTGGCAGGGAATGGCTAGTAAATATATAAATATAATATTTATCTATCAGAGAAGAACCAAACATATTAATGGGATGCTTCCAAACTGCAAATCGTTGAAAGAAACTGAGCATGGACAAGACCCGAGAGTAATTTTTATTCTTTATTTAATACCACTGACATTTCCACGTAAGTTGTTTTATTTTCCCTTTAAAACAAAAAAAGAATCCTTTGTGTGAAGACAAATGTTCCATCAGGTTGTACAGTGAAAACTTTACATTGCCCAAAGCTTTCCAAGGAAAAACGACAGCAAAAGAAAGAATGAAGGAAAGAAAGAAAGAGAACAAGTTACTCGGATAGAACACAGAACCAACGAATGAAGTTATGGTAGTGAACAAAGTGCATGAAACAGATTACTATTTTTTTTTAAAAAAACTACATTTGTGGCTTTAACTTTTGTGGATTCCATCGCATTGAGTCATGACAATTAAAGTGGTGTCAAACTGCGTTAACTCAACAGTGTAGATGCCCCAAACGACTCACTTAAAACCCAGGCCAGAATTGTGTTCACTGAGACAGAGAAGAAGAAAATAGAGAGAGAAAGCAAATTGCATCTTGTTTGAATCAGAACTCATGATTGTGATGGAACGTATTCCTAAGGAGGTGTGCTTGGTCAAATGAGCGAGCAAAAGAATGGTGTCCAATAGTGGTACTTAGTGATATGTTTCCAGTTCCAGACTGGCCTTTGAATCAGCATACAGATCTATCTCTAATTGCAAATATGACATAGGACTTTTACAAATAAAAAAAAGTATAAATGGGGTTTTTTGGGGGTGGGGAGGGGAGGTGGGGTTTGGTTATTATGAGGTCACACAGCTCAGCAACCCAGCCAATCGGATTTCACGTTGCCCACTTTAACTATCTTTAGGCTTTGATCTTCCAGTTTGAGATAATACCAGTCCTTGAAGAAGTAGCTGTGACCTGTTAAGGAAGAAGAAACATTATTATTATTATTATTATTATTATTATTATTATTATTATTATTATTATCATCTTTATTTGTACCCTGCTAGCATCTCCCGAAGGACTCAATGCAGCTTACAAAGGCCTCTCTGGATGAACGAAGTGAGCGCGTGGGTTGGTAGACGGAGATGCGGTCACGTAGGTAGGATGGTTCCAAACCGTTTAGGGCTTTGTAGGTACGCGCCTGCACCTTGAATTGGGACCGGAAAATGAAAGGCAGCCAGTGGAGCTCCTTAAACAGGAGGGTTGACCTCTCTCTGTAAGGCGCACAGAATCATGGCTGCCGCCCGTTGGACCATTTGGAATTTCCGAGCCTTTTCAAGGGCAGCCCCACGTAGAGCGCATTGCAGTAATCCATCTAGAGGTGACCAAGGCATGGACCACCCCGGCCAGATCACCTGCGAGGTACGGTCGCAGTTGGCGCACTAGTCTCAATTGTCTGCAAAAGCCCTCCCGGACACCGCCGACGCCTGAAGTAACTCTCTCTCTCTCAAAGCCTGTCTACACATGGAAAAAATATCATGATTTTCCTCGTATTTTTTCCAATTTTTCCACTTCCCAAGCATAGATAGATTGTGGGTTTTCTTCTCTTCAGTCTTTCTCAAAATGACGACCGGAAGTGATGTTGCATCTCATCCAATTGCCATTTTATGAAGGGCGGAAGGAGAAACCATTTGGGAATCCATTGGCCACTTACCACTTCCGCTCACATCCAGCACAGCGTCCAGGTTGTCTGGAACCCCATTCCAAGCATCTGCAATTAATTTAGGGAAACCAGGATCCATCTTCTTCTTTACTTCGTTGTACCTGCAAAAACACATTTTCTTTTTCATATGTATATAATACTTCTAACCTTTGTGTACTTTAGAATGATGTAATCACACCCTTGAAATTTGGAGGGAAAGGCATAATGAGGAGGACAGAAAGAGGAGAGGAAGAGGAGGATGAGGATGAGGAGGAAGAAGTAGAGGAAGAATGATGATGTTGAGGAGGAAAATGGGGAAGAGAAGCAGATGCAGAAAGAGAAGGAGAAAAAGAAGGAGAAGAGGATGAGGAGGAAGAAGCAGAAGAAGAATGATGATGTTGAGGAGGAAAATGGGGAGGAGAAGCAGATGCAGAAAGAGAAGGAGAAAAAGGAGGAGAAGAGGATGAGGAGGAAGAAGCAGAAGAAGAATGATGATGTTGAGGAGGAAAATGGGGAGGAGAAGCAGATGCATAAGGAGAAGGAGAAAAGGGAGGAGAAGAGGATGAGAAGGAAGAAGCAGCAGAAGAAGAATGATGATGATGATGATGATGATGATGAGGAAAATTGGGAGGATAAGCAGATGCAGAAGGAGAAGGAGAAAAGGGAGGACAGGAAGAGGAGGAGGAAGATGAAGAATAGTGTGATGATGATGAGGAAAGTAGGGAGGAGAAGCAGAAGGAGAAGGAGAAAAAGAAGGAGGAGGAAGAGGAGGATAAGGAGGAAGAAGCAGAAGAATGATCATGATGATGAGGAAAATGGGGAGGAGAAACAGATGCGGAAAGAGAAGGAGAAAGGGGAGGAGAGGAAGAAGAGGATGAGGAAGAGGAAGAATAATAATGGTGTGATGGTGGTGAGAAAAATGGGGAGGATAAGCAGATGGAGAAGGAGAAGGAGAAAATGGAGGACAGGAAGAGGAGGATGCGGAAGAACATGAAGAATAGTGTGATGATGATGAGCAAAGTGGGGAGGAGAAGGAGAAGGAGAAGGAGAAAAGGAGGAGGAGGAAGAGGAGAATAAGGAGGAAGAAGCAGAAGAATGATGATGACGAAGAGGAAAATGGGGAGGAGAAAGATGCAGAAAGAGAAGGAGAATGGGGAGGAGAGGAGGAAGAGGATGAGGAGGAGGAAGAAGAATAATGGTGTGATGATGGTGAGAAAAATGGGGAGGATAAGCAGATGGAGAAGGAGAAGGAGAAAAGAGAGGACAGGAAGGAGGATGAGGAGGAAGATGAAGAATAGTGTGATGATGAGGAAAGTGGGGAGGAGAAGCAGAAGGAGAAAAGGAAGGAGAGGAAGAGGAGGATAAGAAGGAAGAAGCAGAAGAATGATGATGATGAGGAGGAGGAATGGGGAGGAGAGGAAGAGGAGGAGGATGAGGAAGGAGAAAGGATGAGGAAGAGGAGAAGAAGAAAAACGATGATGATCTTGGGGATGAGGAAAATGGGGACAGAAAGCAGATACAGAAAGAGAAGGAGAAGATGAGGAGGAAGAAGGAAGAGGAGAAGAAGATGATGAATGATGATGAGGAGGAGTTAGAAGAGGAGGACGAGGAGGAGGAATACGGAGGAGAAGGATTAAGGTGTTGGCAAATACTGTAAGGGGTGTTCAACAATAGTCTCAGAAGATGTTGGACTCTCCAACTTTGGAGGTCTTTTCCCAGAGTTTGGGTGGGCATCTGTCAAAAGTTCTTGGTTTCTGTATTTCTGCATGGTATGAGGTTGGACTAAATGGTCCTTGTGGACCCTTCCAAACCTAATATTCTATGAAAATAGAAATGTTTTCTTCTGAGGTCCTTTCTCAACCTGCTGCCTTCCATATGTACCAAAGTATAAACTCAATCGCCCATGGGCCAGGCTACTTGGGGAATATGTAGTTCAACCTGAACCTGGAGTACAAATTATGGAATTCTACCAAATCACCATGAAATTTGAGAAGACTGTGTGGGTTGCAGTTCAAAAATTCCAAGTTTTGAGGTGCATCTACAGTGTAGAATTAGTGTGGTTTGATGCCACTTGTATTGCCACAACTCAGTGCTGTGGAATACTGGGAATTGTGGTTTGGTGACAGATTATGAATGATGAGAAGACTAAAGACTTTACACAACTACAACTACCACAATCCCATAGCATTGAGCCATGGCAGTTAAAGTGGTGTCAAACTGCATTAATTCTACAGTATAGGTGCTCCCATTGTTTCCAAAATATGTCCACTTGATGGCTCTGGTTAGCAATCTTGCAGCTGTATTTTGAACTAACCGAGTTCCTCAATAATCTTCAAAGGCAGCCCTATGTATAAAGCTTTGCAGTAGTCTAAACCTCTTTTGATTCCCCTGCGGTTGTGATATAGTGATCCAACTGTGCTCTCCTACAAAGGGATTTTTTGCTTTGAAATCCAAAACTTAACCACGTGCTAACATGATAGCACTTCATCCCTGGTTCCCTACCGAGAAGCAATTAAGTCTCACCTCCAAAATTTGTCCCCAGCAAAAATGTAGGTCTTCTTGTTCTTGCTCCAGTTAAAAGCCGCATTGACATGCTGCACATCGGGAGGCAGCCCCAGACTGGTAAGCCGTTTCGGATAACCTCTTTCCAAAGTGCTGGCGGAGTAAATCCAGTATTCGTTTCCTGGAAAAATAAGGCATGAAGTTCTAATTATCTCTTTTGCAAATGAGGTTAGAAGAAAATGGGCTGGGAGAAAGGATTATTTCAATCCAAGGGTTTCAAATTCCATCACAGTTCCGCTAAATGGAAAATATAGAAATTTTCATCAAGACTCTCTCTAGGACAATTCCAGGATGCTGGGATCTCATGGTCTGGGGGTCAGAGATTTTTTTTGCTCACACCATCACCTTTTCAAGAAAGTGTTCTAGAGAATTCAAACTCTCACTGAACTACAAATCTCAGGGGTCCACAAGGGGGAGCTCTGGTGGCTGTTTGTTTGTTTGTTTGTTTGTTTACTGTATTTATATACTGCCTTCCTCACCCTGGGGGGACTCAAGGCGGTTTGCAACATAGTAATGGCAAGGAAGACTCCAGCAATACATGGAGAGAGGGTTGCCAGACGTACAAGCTGGGTACGTCTGGCAGAGGAACGAGAGACCCAATTGCCAGTATCTGCTGGATAATGGAGGAAGGCGGGGAGTTTCAGAAAAACATCTATTTCTGTTTTATTGACTATTCTAAAGCCTTTGACTGTGTGGATCATAATCAATTGTGGCAAGTTCTTGGTGGTATGGGCATACCAAATTACCTTGTCTTTCTCCTGAGGAATCTGTTTAGGGACCAAATAGCAACAGGAAGAACTGACCACGGAATAACAGACTGGTTCAAGATTGGGAAAGGCATACGACAGGGTTGTATCCTCTCCCCCAACCTATTCAACTTGTATGCAGAACACATCATGCGATGTGCAGGGCTTTACAAATGCAAGGCTGGGGTAAAAATTGCTAGAAGTGCATAAGTGGCTACGACAATTCAAAGATTTTTATTATTGTTATTGTGAAGCACCTGTTCTCACGAATCCTCGCTTCAACTGAAGCCACCAAATCGTCTGTAATCAAAGAAGGGTGACCGGAGTGGTCCTCATCACGGATGTTGTCACAGCCATCTTTGAATTGTCATACCCACTTCTGCACTTTGCTTTCACTCATAACAGTCTCACCATACACTTCACAAATCTGTCGATGGATTTCTGCAGCAGGAAAGTTCCTTGCTGACAAAAACCATATCACTGAGCGAACCTCACATGCGGAGGGTGAGTTGATAGTCTTAAACATTTTAAAAGCACAAAACAGAACCGTACAGGTGAGTTGCAGACCGGAAACTGAGCACAGTTGTTCCCGAGGCATGCCGGTACACGACGCACGCACTCGTTGTAGTATGTGCGCAAACTACTAGTGTCTACAACGAAACGGACCTTACTTAAAAAATACCCCTAGCATATAATACTGATATTGTGCTATGCCAATAACATAATATATTGTATGTATATATATCTTGTAAGCTGCTCTGAGTCCCCTTCGGGGTGAGAAGGGTGACATATAAGTGCCGTAAATAAATAAATAACCAAACTGCTACGATTGTATAATGTGGAAACAAACCAGCATTTTGGATGTGTGTTGGCTTCAGTCTATTTTGGACTCCCTCGTCCCCTTTCTGTGCAAGAAAAGTTGGTGTCCTCCACAAATGGGATGGTTACAAGTGAAGTCTTTCAGTGCAAGCAGGCATTCAACATGATCCAAAACTCTCACCCAACAGGGAGAAAATACTTGGAACTGTTGCCACTTTGACACACAAGACTAAAATAAATGAAGATATGCATTCCTGAAATACAGCCAGGTGGGAGGGATAAAACAAATACAATATGTGCACAATGCAGATTACTCTTCAAGCCAACCCCAAGTTATATATTTTGTCGTTTTACAATTTTTGGCGGTTTGACCCTTGGGATCAAATCTGTGGGTGTTTTTGTTTGATAATATCAAGAACAGTCAGGTTTGCTTATTGACCTGCCAATTTGGATTGTTCGTTCTTTTCCCTCCCTTATAGAGAACTAATTGAATTTCTTTAGCAAACAGTATTGAATCTCTTCTCCTCCTTACAGTCCCCCAGGGCAATGGTAGATGTAATGCTTGGACATAGACAAATGAGGTGTTTTGGCTACATCCAGTTTACTGTGTAATCCAAACCCAGCTAGCGTTCGGACATGTGGAGTTCATTATTGGACCTTTCCTTACTTTTAAAAGAAATTCTCCATCAGCATCTAGAAAACCTGTTCCATTCAGTTTTATCAAGTCTTTGGCCATGTTGCAGAGGTTTGTTTTGTTCTTGCTGGCTCGACTTTTCAAACTGCCAAAAACCTAGTTGATGCAGCCGCAACAAATACATATGTAGATACATAGACATAAACATTCAACAGTCAATTAATTTATTTTAATCCCCTTCTGCTATAATTCTTCTCCTAATCAGTGTACTTTTTGTGTTAGACCGGGACATCCGTAGGGATACCAAGGGGCTTGTTTATAAAGCTATTGTCCTCCCAACCCTGCTATACGCCTGCGAGACGTGGACTGTCTACAGACGTCACATGCAACTCCAGGAGCAATTCCATCAGTGTTGCCTCCGAAAAATCCTGCAACTCTTGGGAAGACAGGCGGACAAACATCAGTGTGCTGGAAGAAGCAAAGACCACCAGCATTGAAGCGATGGTCCTCCACCATCAACTCCACTGGACTGACCACACTGTCCAGATGCCCAACCACTGTCTCCCAAAGCAGTTGTTCTACTCTGAACTCAAGGATGGTGTGCCGTCACACCCAGACCCTATAAAAATAAAACTAAGATGTGCTTCTCTCTTTGTCTGGGCAGACCGCGAGGGTCTTTCTTTAGAAGCTTGAGATTCCCAGCAACTGAGGCTACTACAGGTTTTGAACACCAAAACAGAATATTTATTTCTCAAAGTCCTTGCAGACTTGGCACAGCTTGTCAAAGTTACAAACTAAACAGTCAATTGGTCAAACCATAGAGATGTTCTTTCTTTCCTTCTTTCCTCTAGTCGCTGAGTTGCTCTCCTCCAAATCATAGAAAAAATCCTGAGATCTTTTTACCCCAACCCTGAGCTACTATCTTTTAGAAAGCGTAGACCTTCCCTATTCCAGCCCAAGGTTAGTTTGGAGAGGAAGCAAAAAGAGCTCAATAACTATCTCAATAGTCCTCTATACTAAATAGCTCAATTAAGACTCAATTGGACCCAATATTACTCAATCGCTATTCTATCTATCTCAATTAACTTCTTTATATAACTCAATCAGCTTCTCTATCTAAATAACTCAATAATGTGTGATCCAATTCAACAGCCAGCAGAGTGTCTGCTGTAGACTCATCTTGTGGTGTTTCTAATAATAATAATAATAATAATAATAATAATAATAATAATAATAATAATAATAATGTAAAGGTTTCCTCTTCACATTAAGTCTAGTCAAGTCCAACTCTGAGAGTGGTGCTCATCTCCATTACTAAGCCAAAGAGTTGGCATTGTTTGTAGATGCCTCCTAGGTCATGTGACCGGCATGACCGCACGGAGTACCGCTGCCTTCTTGCCGGAGTCGTATTTACTGATCTACTCACATTTGTATGTTTTAGAACTGCTAGGTTGGCAGAAGTTGGGGCTGACAGTGGGAGCTCACCCTACACCTCAGATTCTAACCACAAATCTTTCGGTCAGCAAGTTCAGCAGCTCAGCGGTTTAACCTGCTTTGCCACCGGAGGCTCAATAATAATCTATATAAATAAAAATGTAATGTCCGTTTGTGGAATTAACAGAACTCAAAAACCACTAGACGAATTGGCACTAAATTTGGACACAAGACACCTAACAAACCCAATGTATGTCTTCACTCAAAAAAATTGATTTTGTCATTTGGGAGTTGTAGTTGCTGGGATTTATAGTTCACCTACAATCAAAGAGCATTCTGAACCCCACCAACGATGGAATTGAACCAAACTTGGCACACAGTTCTCCCATGATCAACAGAAAATACTGGAAGGGTTTGGTGGGCAGTGTCCTTTGGTTTTGGAGTTGTAGTTCACCTACATCCAGAGATCACTGTGGACTCAAACAATGATGGATCTGGACCAAACTCTACACGAATACTCAATATGCCCAAATGTGAACACTGGTGGAGTTTGGGGAAAATAGAATCTTGACATTTGGGAGTTGTAGTTGCTGGTATTTATAGTTCACCTACAATCACAGAGCATTCTGAACCCCACCAACGATAGAATTGGGCCAAACCTCCCACACAGAACCCCCATGTGGGCCACAGCAACGCATGGCAGGGGACGGCTAATAATAATAATAATAATAATAATAATAATAATAATAATAATAATTATTATTATTATTATTTAAACCCCATCCCATCTCCCTGAAGGGTGTTGAGGTGGCTTACAAAAGCTATTAAGGAGGAAGAACACATACATTCAGGGATAGGGTTTTGCATTGGAAATTTAAGAAGGCCTTTCTTCCAACACATTTCCTAACTTATATGGTCAGCCTTGTTGTCCCTAAACTTTCTTCTCTGAAGAAAAAAGGAGCCAAACAGAAATGCTAAAGCAAAGCATGTCAGCTTCTTTCTTCTACTCCTTACCTGAAAAAAAGACCGTCTTCTCCTCCTGAGGGGCTTCATAGACAGCATCCACTTTTTCTGGCACCTCTGACCAAAACGTTGCAGTGAGCAAAGGACCCGTAAGCCTGTCCCGTTGGTTTGCTGTCCTCCAGATGAATCTAGGCAGAAGGAAAACAACAAAAAAAATCACAGAAAGGGTTTACAAAGGGCTGATTCATCGCCACATCTGTTTCTCATCAGTGCTGGCAAGAGGGCAGGCATACATTTGTGCGTCTCTGTATGTGTGTGTGTGTGAATACATATGCACACCCTGGCACATGGAATTAGTATCAGCAATATAAACATATAATTACTACATACTTTTAAAATTGGCACACAGATGTCCCATGGCCAACAAAAATCCTGGAAGGGTTTGGTGGGCATTGACCTTGGGTTTTGGAGTTGTAGTTCACCTACATCCAGAACTCAAACAATGATAGATCTGGACCAAACTTGGTATAAATACTCAATGTGCCCAAATGTGAACACTGGTGGAGTTTGGGAAAAATAGACCTTGGCATTTGGGAGTTGTGGTTGCTGGGATTTGTGGACGCAGGTTCGCAGTCTGGGTGTGATCCTGGACTCATCGCTGAGCCTGGAACCCCAGGTTTCAGCGGTGACCAGGGGAGCATTCGCACAGTTAAAACTTGTGCGCCAGCTGCGCCCGTACCTTGGGAAGTCTGACTTGGCCACGGTGGTCCACGCTCTGGTTACATCCCATTTAGACTACTGCAACGCTCTCTACGTGGGGTTGCCTCTGAAGACTTCTCGGAAGCTTCAAATGGTCCAATGATCGGCAGCCAGGATGCTAACAGGAGCGGCACTCAGGGAGCATAAAACTCCTCTGTTGCACCAGCTCCACTGGCTGCCAATTAGCTACCGGGCACAATTCAAAGTGCTGGCTTTAGCCTTTAAAGCCCTAAACGGTTCTGGCCCAACCTACCTGTCCGAACGCATCTCCTCCTATGAACCAGTTAGGACGTTAAGATCGTCTGGGGAGGCCCTGCTCTCGGTCCCGCCGGCTTCACAAGCACGCCTGGCGGGGACGAGAGACAGGGCCTTCTCAGTGGTGGCCCCTCGGCTGTGGAACGCCCTCCCTACAGACATCAGATCGGCCCCCTCTTTATTGGCATTCCGGAAGAGTGTGAAGACCTGGCTTTTCGAACAGGCTTTCAACTAAGCAATGCAATTGATTGATTATTGGAATGGAATAATGGACAATGAGTTCGGATGCTGATTCTATTGATGAGACGTGATGGATTGTTATAGTGCTGTACTGTTGTATTGATATTTTGGTGTTGATTAATTGATACTACTGTTTTAATTGATTAATGATTTTGTATTGTGTTGTTGAAACTGGTTGTTAACCGCTCTGAGTCGCCTGAGGGCTGAGAAGAGCGGTATACAAATGAAGCAAATAAATAAATAAATAAATAATAGTTAATCTACAATCAAAGAGCATTCTGAACTCCACCAATGATGGAATGGAACCAAACTTCCTACACAGGACCCCCATGACCAACAGAAAATACAGGATGGGTTTGGTGAGCATTGACCTTGAGTTTTGGAGTTGTAGTTCACCTACATCCAGAACTCAAACAATTATAGATCTGGACCAGACTTGGTACAAATACTCACTATGCCCAAATGTGAACACTGGTGGAGTGGGGAAAATAGATCTTGACATTTGGGAGCTGTGGTTGCTGGGATTTATAGTTCACCTACAATCAAAGAGCATTCTGAACCCCACCAATGATAGAATTGGTCCAAACTTCTCACACAGAACCCCCATGACCATCAGAAAATTCTGTGTTTTCCGGTGGTCTATGGTGACTCCTCTGACACCCCCTCACGACCCCACCAGGGGTCCTGACCCCCAGCTTGGAAACACTGATCTACAGCAACAGCAATGCTAGACTATTATGGTGTGATGGAAACTTTCACTATAGGATGGAAATCTTCTTTCGGGGGCAGCACCCTCATATTGCCCTCCTGAAGCAACTCCTTTTTTTAAATTATTGATTTTTATTGAAGAGTAGAATAGTTACATAAAAAGTGGGGGAATAATGTGTAGGAGATAGGAAAGTAGGAAATAAAGTAGAAAGAGAAGAGAGGAAAAATATGTATATATAATAAAAAAATTAAAGATATATAAATAAGAAAAAAGAAAAAAAGGAGAGAAAAAAGGGAGAAAAGAGGGCCCCTCCAACAGGGGGACCAGAGGAGGAAAAGGGAAGGGGAAAAAAGAAAGAAAGAAGAAAAAATATAAGAAAATACATTATATATATATATATATATATATATACATATAGAAAAGAAGAGAGAGAAAAAAAGAAAAAAGGGGTGTAACGGTCAAAATAAAAATGACTTCCATCTAGTCTTTGAAAATCTTTAATGTCTTTTCATAGAGAAAAACCTTTTTTTCTGTGTTTCTTCCTTGTTTGTTTTTCAATGACTGTGATCAGTAAATAATCTCTATTTTCCACTGTTTAAGGTATTTTTTTACCGGGTCCCAATTTGTTGGAATCTTTGGAATTCCTTGATTTGATGTTAACCAATAAGTTAGTTCATCCATATTTATTATTTCCAGAATTTTATTATGCCAGTCTTCTCTTTGAGGGATTTCTTTCAGTCTCCATTTTTTAGCGAATATTGTTTGAGCTGCAGTTGTTAAATAGATAAGTAAATAGTATTTCTCTCTCGATCAAAATCTAGCATTCCTAGCAGAAAAAACTCCAGTTCTCTTTTTATTTGTGTTTTTAATATTTTTTTTGCATATCATTAGGTATCATGGTCCAAAATTCTTTAGCTTTTGGGCAAGTCCACCAGATGTGGAAGAAAGTCCCAACCTGATGGTCACATTTCCAACATTTGTTCGAAGCGTTTTTATAGTTTTTTTTCACTTCCTTTTCCTCTTTGAGCTCATATTTTCATATTTTCATAGAATCATAGAATCAAAGAGTTGGAAGAGACCTCATGGGCCATCCAGTCCAACCCCATTCTGCCAAGAAGCAGGAATATTGCATTCAAATCACCCCTGACAGATGGCCATCCAGCCTCTGTTTAAAAGCTTCCAAAGAAGGAGCCTCCACCACACTCCGGGGCAGAGAGTTCCACTGCTGAACGGCTCTCACAGTCAGGAAGTTCTTCCTCATGTTCAGATGGAATCTCCTCTCTTGTAGTTTGAAGCCATTGTTCCGCGTCCTAGTCTCCAAGGAAGCAGAACACAAGCTTGCTCCCTCCTCCCTGTGGCTTCCTCTCACATATTTATACATGGCTATCATATCTCCTCTCAGCCTTCTCTTCTTCAGGCTAAACATGCCCAGCTCCTTAAGCGGCTCCTCATAGGGCTTGTTCTCCAGACCCTTGATCATTTTAGTCACCCTCCTCTGGACACATTCCAGCTTGTCAATATCTCTCTTGAATTGTGGTGCCCAGAATTGGACACAATATTCCAGTTGTCTAACCAAAGCGGAATAGAGGGGTAGCATTACTTCCCTAGATCTAGACACTATGCTCCTATTGATGCAGGCCAAAATCCCATTGGCTTTTTTGCCGCCACATCACATTGTTGGCTCATGTTTAACTTGTTGTCCATGAGGACTCCAAGATCTTTTTCACACGTACTGCTCTCGAGCCAGGCGTCCCCCATTCTGTATCTTTGCATTTCGTTTTTCCTGCCAAAGTGGAATATCTTGCATTTGTCATTGTTGAACTTCATTTTGTTAGTTTTGGCCCATCTCTCTAATCTGTCAAGATCGTTTTGAATCCTGCTCCTGTCCTCTGGAGTATTGGCTATCCCTCCCAATTTGGTGTCGTCTGCAAACTTGATGATCCTGCCTTCTAGCCCTTCATCTAAGTCATTAATAAAGATGTTGAACAGGACCGGGCCCAGGACGGAACCCTGCTGATGGCACTCACTCGTCACTTCTTTCCAGGATGAAGAGGAAGCATTGGTGAGCACCCTCTGGGTTTGTCCATTTAACCAATTACAGATCCACCTCACCATAGTTTTGCCTAGCCCACATTGGACTAGTTTGTTTGTTTGCTCTTTCTTTTTTTAGGATATCTCTATATTTGGGCCAAATTTGCCTGTCTAATTCTCTCTGAAATGCCTGAAACTACTCCCTTGTATTTCTGCCCAAATGATCTCTTCGTTTGCTATGTGACAGCCATTAGCCGTTTATAACGTCTTTAGCAGTCCTATTAATTCTCACTGCAAAACCAACAAAAAAGAGAGAGAGAGAAGCCTTTGCTACTTCAATTATCCCAGCAAATAAACCCATTTACAAGGCACTTAAAACTCTTTCAGCCATCCCCATTTCTGCACATTGAACAGATGGATGTGCATTTGGCAAATGCCAACATTTGTATTGGGCACATTACTCTGGGCGATTATGATTGTAGCAACTAAAAAAGATCAAATCTAATAATCATCTATCAAACAGCTTGGCTGTAAATGAAACCTGGAGCATTAAAAGCAGTCATGAGAGAAATAAAGGAGGGTAACCGAGGAGCTGTTTTATGTATCGGCAATATCCTCTTCTGATTTAAAAGCATATTAAAAATCCAGTTTGATTTCAGTAACAGGGTTCGGGTCAGAAAGGGGCTGAATGTGAACAGAGGCACTATTGTGGCTTTCTTTCTTGTGTTTTTTCCCACCCTTCTCTTTAATATCTCTGTATATTCCATTTTGTGCAAACCAGGAGAGAAAAAACTTTCAATTCTCAGGCCAATTCCACGAGCAACAAATCTGCTAAATCCCCATAATAGGACAAAACTGCAATTTGAGTAAATCAACTCCATTTAGAGCAGTTTTTCTCAATCTTCCTAATGTCGCAACCTTTTAATACAGTTCCTCAGGTTGTGGTGACACCCAACCATAAAATTATTTTTTGTTGCTACGTCATAACTTGAGAAACACTGATTTAGAGTGTTTTATTAGCATTAGCCGGTTAATGTATTGTCGAAGGCTTTCATGGCTGGAATCACTAGGTTCTTGTGGGTTTTTTCGGGCTATATGGCCATGTCTAGAGGCATTTCTCCTGACGTTTCGCCTGCATCTATGGCAAGCATCCTCAGAGGTAGTGAGGTCTGTTGGAATTAGGACAATGGGTTTATATATCTGTGGAATGGCGGGGGTGGGGCAAGGAGCACTTCTCTGATGGAGCCAGGTGTGAATGTTTCAACTGACCACCCTCATTAGCATTTGAGGGCCTGGCTGAGCCTGGGAAAATCTCTTGTTGAGAGGTGTTAAGATGTGCCTGGTTGTTTCCTCTCTGTTGTTGTGCTGTTCTAATTTTAGAGTTTTTTAATACTGGTAGCCAGTTTTTGTTCATTTTCATGGTTTCCTCCTTTCTGTTGAAATTGTCCACATGCTTGTGGATTTCAATGGCTTCTCTGTGTAGTCTGACATGGTGGTTGTTGGTGTGGTCCAGCATTTCTGTGTTCTCAAATAATATGCTGTGTCCAGGCTGGTTCATCAGGTGCTCTGCTATGGCTGACTTCTCTGGTTGAAGTAGTCTGCAGTGCCCTTCATGTTCCTTGATGCGTGTCTGGGCACTGCGTTTGGTGGTCCCTATGTAGACTTGTCCACAGCTGCATGGTATACGGTAGACTCCTGCAGAGGTGAGAGGATCCCTCTTGTCCTTTGCTGAACGTAGCATTTGTTGGATTTTCTTGGTGGGTCTGTAGATTGTTTGTATGTTGTGTTTCCTCATCAGCTTCCCTATACGGTCAGTGGTTCCCTTGATGTATGGCAAGAACACTTTTCCTCTGGGTGGATCTTCATCTTTACTCTCGTGGCTTGTTCTCTTGGTCTTGCAGCTCTTCTGATGTCTGAGGTGGAGTATCCATTGGCCTGGAGAGCCAAGTTGAGGTGGTTCAGTTCATCTTGGAGGAGGTGGGGTTCGCAGATTCTTTTTGCACCGTCTGCCAAGGCTTTAATGGTGCTTCTTTTTTGACTTGGGTGATGGTTGGAGTTTTTAGTAGGTATCTATCTGTGTGTGTAGGTTTTCTGTAGACGGTGTGACCCAATTGTTGATCTGGTTTGCGGATAACTAGCCGGTTAGCTTGTTTTTTTTAATATAATGGGATCGGAATAACAGAAAGAGTGGATTTGTGTGTATCTACCAATTTCTTGCTTACATCAAGGCCACCTCTTTAGGACTGAAAACATGTTCAAAATGGCCAACCATATCTATGCATCACACAAAAACATCAAATTGGGCAGAGTTTGTTCTAGATTCCAGAAATATGCGATTTAATATCTTTAGAGTTTGTAATTTTTTTTTCTAGTGAGCAACCAAGCAGAAACATTTAAGGACTATGGCCACAAGTGTCTGGGCTCCCAATGGAGCAGACTGCAGCTCCCATGTCGGTGTTCTGACATAGATTCTATCCAAATGAGCTCTCCAAAGTGCTGAAAACTTTTTTTTCCTGGTGATATATATCTTGTAGGCCTGGGTAACAACGGAAAAATTTGTTTCTAAAATCGATTTGTATTTGGGGGGTTTTTTTGGTTCGATATTTAAAATAATTACAAAATTTTCCTTTTAAAAAGTTCGATATTTACGAAATTTCGTAAATGGTAAAAATTTAACGAATCGATTTCCGAAACAATAACGAATCGATTCGTTAATGGCGGACGCGACCGCGAAATACGCTAAAAAACCTCCAAAACCTTCTGAAGCTTCCCTCTCCCTCTGTTGTTGACTGTTGGTGTGATATTATAATTTTTTTTCACTAATTAAACCATAAAACTGGCCCAGACATGCGGAAATAATAACGAAACGACCTCAACAATAACGAAACGAATACAATAACGAAATACGAAGCATTTACAAAACGTGTTTAAAAATTCGTTTTTTTAATGATTGCTCCAGAATGGTTCGTTATCGTTTTGTAATTGGAAAAATTAACGAATTATTAACGAATTACGAATTAACGAAACGAAACCGCCCAGGCCTAATATCTTGGATAGATCCTCGAATAGTGGAGATAAACCCAGAGTAGATTCACTGTCCTGTCAGCATTGGGCAACCCAATCTTCCCCACAAACTCTATGAAATGGACACAGAAACCTCTTGACACAGTATTAGCTGGCTTTCCTGTCTGTCAAATATTGCATAATTCTCCAAATCTGATATAAAAAACTATATCTATATATAAATGCTCTGTGCATAATGAGTACCTTAAAAACAAAAGAACCAATGAACGAAATCACACCAAATTTGGCAACAAAACACCTCACTACACAAGGAGTGACCATCACTCAAAAAATTATGATTTTGTCATTTGGGAGTTGTAGTTGCTGGGATTTATAGTTCACTAATAATCAAAGAGCATTCTGAACTCCACCAATAATGGAATTCAACAGAACTTGGTACACACGGCTCCCATGGTCAATAGAAAATGCTAAAAGGGTTTGGTGGGCATTGACCTTGAGTTTGGGAGTTGTAGTTCACCTACATCCAGAGAGCACTGTGGACTCAAACAATGATGGATCTGGACCAAACTTTACACGAATACTCAATATGCCCAAATGTGAACACTGGTGGAGTTTGGGGAAAGTAGAATCTTGACATTTGGGAGTTGTAGTTGCTGGGATTTATAGTTCACCTACAATCACAGAGCATTCTGAACCCCACCAATGATAGAATTGGGCCAAACCTCCCACACAGAACCCCATGTGGGCCACAGCAATGCGTGGCAGGGGATGGCTAGAATATATATATATATATATATATATATATATATATATATATGTAAATTACATGCAGATTATGTATTTTGGACCTGTGTCCTCAACCATTTCAGAGTCCAGTAACTCCATGAAATTCAGGAGAATGGCCAATGTAACTTTGACATGGGAAACATTCCTGATCATATATTCATTACCATTGCTAATAAATAGTAGACTTCCTGTTTGAAATTCCTTTATCTCCAGAAAAAGGACTGTGGTTCAGCTAGCTGGGAGTCAGCTTCATTAAGATCGCTACTGACCAAAAGGTCATGAGTTTGAAGCCAGCCCGGGTCAGAGTGAGCTTCCGACCAATTTGTGTAGCTTGCTGTTGACCTTTGCAGCCCGAAAGACAGTTGCATCTGTCAAGTAAGAAATTTAGGTACTTATGTGGGGAGGCTAATTTATGATGCCATAAAAATCTCCAGCAAGCATGCAAAGAATGAGGAAGTACTTAATCAGTGTCACAAATGAATGGTGAAGCAACAGCTCCCCTGGTAGCCAGAAAACCCTCATGAAAAAGCTGGAATGTTCAATATCCTCTGTGTGTCTGTCTATATATGTTGTGTGTCCAATCCATGGCATTGAATGTTTGCCAAATAAATACATCAGTTATTGTGTTTCAGTCAAAGCATCCAGGTTTCTCATGTTTTGGCATGGAACAGATTTCCAAAACTATTAACAAACCCATTCATTCTAAAATAGTGGGGAGCAAACCTGTCTTGAACAGAATCATAGCTAACATTCCTTATTGTTTCACTGAGGACACTTCAATGAATTTGAAAATAATGCTGGGGTTTTTGGGGGCGAAGCCTGACAACTATTGTTTGAGCATGTTTTGAATCTTTAATCTTATAAACATCACTTACGTATTATCTTGCAGATTCTGTTTTTCTTTCAATTACAGTTAATTTGACCAAAGAAACCTATTTACCGGTCTTTGAAGAAGAAGATCTCCCCTCTGAGTTGGGCAACAGCATCAAATACAATGTCTTGACCACACAGTTCAGGAGTAACTGGACCAAGGGTTGGACCTGGACCTGGCCCGACATCAGTAGAACCCCCTGTAAATAAAGGAAAGGATGATAACCAAGGGATTTTACACAGCAGAATTTCCTTTAAATATTTCAATGCTAACAATAGGAATACAAGCAATTATGCTTAATTCCATCTTTATATCTGTTGAAACTAAAAGAGAAGTGTCTGAAGAACAATAAGATACCATGAATGGTGGAAAAGAGTGACCATATTGTTAGGGCATATAAGAAATCAGTTAGTGTTTGTAAACTGTAAAATATGTGCGTGAAACTGATTGGTCGGGCCATGCCCAGGGAAATAGCTGAGCCTGGGAGTTTTGGATACTGTTACATAATCAGGTTTGAGCTGTGCAGGTGCTTGCAGAGAGGCAAACACTGAGAAGCAGAGTGTTGTGGCTGAGCTAGTTTCTGATGATGAGGATGATGGGATTCAGATTCCTGTTGGGTCTAATCTCTGAGTCTGCTACCGAGGCTCTCACAGACAGTGCAGTGTCAACACAGCTGTTTTCACCAGAAAGGAATTTTAACGAAAGGAATAGCGGCCAGGTGCCTTCCCACGATGATATCGAAAGTATAGATAAGGATTTGACCCGAGAAGCTCGCCTTGATCTCCGGGTCAGGCGCAGTTCGCATCTGGCAAGCAGACGGGAGGCTACCTCGGTGCAAGGTCGTCTCAATGCTTTTATGATGCTGAGAGCCTAATGTTTTGATGTTGGGAAGGTATTTAGGCCTCCTGGAAATGCTGTGAAAGTGTCAGTTCAACGTAGCTTATTAGCCTGAAAGCTTCATGGAATAACCTAACCTGGAAAGCAGGATTTCTCGCATTGTGATTCTTGGGGCAAATGTTTCATTGCTTGTACCTGGGACTCTGGTTTGAACTTTGCCAATAGGATTACGACTCCTGCTTTTACCTGAAGATCTTTGGAACTGTTTCCTGCATTTAACCTTAATCTTTGGAACTTTGCAATGCTTATTCTTTATTTTGACTTGGATTTTTTCCTCAATAAATTGTAAAACTACATCTCTTGTGGGGTGGTGTTTGGAAGCAAGGTGAAGCCTATTCTGAGTTGCAACACACACAGAGAGATTGTTTGGAGTGTGCTCTTGCTTCATGAGCTGGAAGGAGTTTTTCCACATGGACATTTTAAAATCTCTCTAAAAGGACATTATGTGAGTGGATGCAACTGGTTGTACATATGTTGTTCTGCATTATGAAGTGGTGCAGTGGGTTTAACCATTGAGCTGCTGAGTTTGTTGACCAAAAGGTCGCAGGTTTGAATCCACGAAGCGGCATGAGCTCCCGCGGTCAGCCCCAGCGTCTGCCAACCTAGCAGTTTAAAAACATGCAAATGTGAGTAGACCAATAGGGACAGCTCAGGTGGGAAGGTAACGGCATTCCATGCAGTCTTGCTGACCACATGACCTTGGAGGTGTCTACGGACAATGCCAGCTCAATGCCAATGGAAGCTGATGAGGAAACACAACATACAAATTATACAAACCCACCAAGAAAATCCAACAAATGCTACGTTCAGCAAAGGACAAGAGGGATCATCTCACTTCTGCAGGTGTCTACCGTATCATGCAGCTGTGGACAAGTCTACAGAGGGACCACCAAATGCAGCAGCGTTGCCCAAACATGAATCAAGGAACATAAAGGCACTGCAGACTACTTCAACCAGAGAAAACAGCCATAGCAGAGCACCTGATGAACCAACCTGGACACAGCATATTATTTGAGAACACAGAAATGCTGGGCCACTCTCACAACCACCATGTCAGACTACACAGAGAAGCCATTGAAATACACAAGCATGTGGACAATTTCAACAGAAAGGAGGAAACCATGAAGATGAACAAAATCTGGCTACCAGTATTAAAAAACTCTAAAATTACAACAGCACAACAACAGAGAGGAAACAAACAAGGACATCTAATCACCTCTCAACAGAGGTTTGCTCCAGGCACTGTCAGGCCATTATATGCTAATCAAGGTGGTCAGTTGAAACATTCACACCTAGCTCCAGCAGACAAGAGTTCTTTGTCCCACCCTGGTCATTCCACAGATATATAAACCCTTTTTATTTATTTATTTATTTACAGTTCTTATATTCCGCCCTTCTCACCCCGCAGCGGACTCAGGGCGGATTACAGTAAACACATATATGGCAAACATTCAAAACAACGTTTAACAGACAAATACACCGAGGCTATTTTAACTTTTTTCTGGCCGCCAGGGGAGCTGCTGCTTTTCATCGTCCATCAACGACACCGATGAAGTTCTTCCGCATTCCACATTCCCCGGAGTCTTCTTTCTTTATGGCCTCATAAATTAGTTAAATTTAGCCTCCCACACAAGGTGGTCCCTTATTTTCCTACTTGACAGATGCAACTGTCCTTCGGGTTGCAAAGGTCGACAACAGGCTACACAATTGGTGGAACCCACTCCAACCCGGGCTGGCTTCGAACTCATGACCTTTTGGTCAGAGTGATCTTAATGCAGCTGACACTCAGCCAGCTGCACCACAAACCCATTTACCTAGTTCCAAAAGACCTCACTACCTCTGAGGATGCTTGCCATAGATGCAGGCGAAACGTCAGGAGAGAATGCCTCTAGAACATGGCCATATAGCCCAAAAACCTACAACAACCCAGTGACAATGAGGTTCATACTTCTAATGATGTTTCTTCAGCGCACCCAAATACCTGGGAGTCACTCTGGACCGTGCCCTGACCTTCAAGAAGCACTGCCTGAATATCAAGCAAAAAGTGGGCACTAGAAACAATATCACAACCAGACACAGTGAAGACATCCGCCCTTGCGCTATGCTACTCTGCTGCTGAGTATGCATGCCCAGTGTGGAACACATCTCACCACACTAAAACAGTGGATGTGGCTCTTAATGAGACATGCCGCATTATCACGGGGTGTCTGCGCCCTACACCACTGGAGAAATTACACTGCTTAGTTGGTATCGCACCACCTGACATCCGCCGGGAAGTAGCAGCCAATAGTGAAAGGACCAAGGCAGAGACATCTCCAGCTCATCCCCTGTTTGGGTATCAGCCAGCACGCCAACGACTTAAATCAAGAAATAGTTTTCTAAGCTCTACAGAGACACTCGCTGGAACACCTCAGCAAGCGAGAGTCCAAAAGTGGCAGGCTCAAACCTAGAACCTCAACCAATGGCTGATACCAAATGAGAGACTCCCCCCTGGGCACACAGAAGACTGGGCGACTTGGAAGGCGCTGAACAGACTGCGCTCTGGCACCACGAGATGCAGAGCCAACCTCAAGAAATGGGGCCACAAAGTGGAATCCACAACATGCGAGTGCGGAGAAGAGCAAACCACAGACCACCTGCTGCAATGCAACCTGAGCCCCGCCACATGCACAATGGAGGACCTTCTTGCGGCAACACCAGAGGCACTCCAAGTGGCCAGATACTGGTCAAAGGACATTTAATCAACTACCAAGCTTGCAAACTCTGTGTCTTTTGTATGTTTGTTTGTTTGTTCTGTCAAAAATGTAATACAACTGTTCGGTTGCCTGACACGATAAATAATAATAATAATAATAATAATAATAATAATAATAATGAAAAAAAATGTTTTCCATTCTTCAAACATTTTCATATATTTTTCTCATCTTCTCCTTGGAAAAACAAATTGAAATCATTACCATAAAGCTCCTGGATTCCTTGAACGTCATCCTGGGAAAGTCGGAAGTGCTTGGTATAAGTATAGATGGGAGCCATGAGGGCACCAGGGTCTTCAGAGTGTTCGAGTCCCATGGCATGGCCAAATTCATGTGCAGCAACCAAGAAAAGACTGTAGCCTGGAAGGAAAATCACATGGTTTTTATGATTGCCTGAATACAATAAGACCCCAAAATCATGGTAGCACTATTCCCAGTTTCACTCACCCATAACCACTGACACCCTCTGTCTGACCGCATCTCGGCCTATGAGCCCACGAGGACTTTGAGATCGTCTGGGGAGGCCCTTCTCTCGATCCCACCTGCCTCACAGGCACGCCTGGTGGGGACGAGGGATAGGGCCTTCTCAGTGGTGGCCCCCCGGCTGTGGAACACTCTCCCTGTAGACATCAGACAGGCGCCCTCCCTGATAACATTCCGCAAGAGGCTAAAGACGTGGTTGTGTGAGAAGGCGTTTGACTAGTGCTACATCAATTGGCAATGACGTTTGGAACGGAACATGGATAACGAGATCGGATTGTGATTCTATGATGAGACGTCGCGAATGATTTAGTGTAATTGTATTATTGACTGTGATGTTGTTATTGTTGTCTGTGATATTGCTTATATTGTAATTTGTTTTTATATGTTGTACACCGCTGTGAGTCGCCCTAGGGCTGAGAACGGCGGTCTACAAATGCAGTAAATAAATAAATAAATAAATAGGACAGTGTTTCTCAACCTTCCTAATGCCGCGACCCCTTGATACAGTTCTTTATGTTGTGGTGACCCCTAACCATAAAATTATTTTTGTTGCTACTTCATAACTGTCATTTTGCTCCTGTTATGAATCATAATGTAAATATCTGATATGCATTATGTATTTTCATTCACCAAATTTGGCATAAATACCCAATATGCCCAAATTTGAATGCTGGTGGGATTCAGGGAGGGGAATTAATTTTGTCATTTGTTAAGTGTAGTTTCTGGGATTTATAGTTCACCATACAATCAAAGAGCATTCTGAACCCCACCAATGATGGAACTTAACCAAACTTGGCACACAGAACTCCCATGACCAAGAGAAAATACCGGAAGGGTTTGGTGGGCATTGACCTTGAGTTTTGGAGTTGTAGTTCACCTACATCCAGAGAGCACTGTAGACTCAAACAATGATGGATGGATCTGGACCAAACTTGGCATGAATCCTCAATATGCCTAAATGTGAACACTGATGGAGTTTGGGGAAAACAGACCTTGACATTTGGGAGTTGTAGTTGCTGGGATTTATAGTTCACCTACAATCAAAGAGCATTCTGAACCCCACCAAGGATCAAATTGGGCCAAACTTCCGACACAGAACCCTATGACCAACAGAAAATACGGTTTTCAGATGGTCTTTGATTACCCCCTCTGTGTTTGTGTATCTCATTGTATTGTAACAAGACACTGAATATTTGCTGGTATCTGTTTACACTGTAATCTACTCTGAATCCCTCCAGGGAGAAGGGCAGAATATAAACAAAGTGTTGTTGTTGTTGTTGTTGTTGTTGTTGTTATTATTATTATTATCATGTCAGGAGTGACTTGAGAAACTGCAAGTCACTTCTGGTGTGAGAGAATTGGCTGTCTGCAAGGACCTTGCTCAGGGGACAGACGGATGTTTTGATGTTTTACCATCATCATGGGAGGCTTCTTTCATGTCCCAGCATGGGGAGCTGGAGCTAACAGAGGGAGCTCACCCGTGCTCCTCAAACCTGCAACCTGTCAGTCTACAATCCTGCTAGCACAAGGGTTTAATCCATTGCGCCACCGGGGGCTCCTATTATTATTATTATTATTATTATTATTATTATTATTATTATCATTATTATTATTATTACATAGTAAAATTAATGATACCACTGGTACTGCCAAGGCTCTGCTATGGAATCATTGTGAGTTATAGCTTTACAAGATCTATAGTCTTCTCTTCTAAACAGTGCTGGTGTTTCACCAAATGACACCTCCCATGATTCCATATCATTAAACCATGACAGCTCAAGAAGTGCCAAACTCCATTAATTGTACAGTGTAGGTACACACTTGGGATCCCTAAAGGGCAAGACAGGGATCTCAGAAAGGTTGGCAGTCCAAGTATTAACCAGAGCTGACTCTGTTTAGCTTCCAAGTTCAGACAGGCTCTAGTACCAGAGGAGGGCAACTAAAATGATCAGGGGTCTGGAGAACAAGCCCTATGAGGAGGGGCTTAAAGAGCTGGGCATGCTTAACCTGAAGAAGAGAAGGCTGAGAGGAGATATGATAGCCATGTATAAATATGTGAGAGGAAGTCATAGGGAGGAGGGAGCAAGCTTGTTTTCTGCTTCCTTGGAGACTAGGACGCAATGGAACAATGGCTTCAAACTACAGGAATGGAGATTCCACCTGAACACTAGGAAGAACTTCCTGACTGTGAGAGCCATTCAGCAGTTGAACTCTCTGCCCTGGAGTGTGGTGGAGGCTCCTTCTTTGGAGGCTTTTAAACAGAGGCTGGATGGCCATCTGTTGGGGGAGCTTTGAATGCAATTTTCCTGCTTCTTGGCAGAATGGGGTTGGATGGATGACCCATGAGGCCTTTTCCAACTCTAGGATTCTATGATTCTGCCTGCCTCAGAATATATATTCTTATCAGAAGAATTACCTTGGTCTGGACAAAATCCCCACTTGCGGTCTTCATCATAGTTGCTGGTTGAAGAGCACCACATTTTCCCATCTTGACGTCCTGAACTGGTACAAGATTCATACTTGTTTCCCAGGAAGATGAACGGAAAAACACAGGGCGCACCTTCTGAGTTCCCACCAACAGTTGACATTGCTGTCACGAAAAATGCGTACAGACAATAATTATTTCAAAAATATGTACCTTCTTCCCTTCTACTCAAGCCCAGGTAAGTCTTCTTGTCTCACATTATGCTTCCCCTGCTCCAACAATAAACAGAACATAGAAGCATCTAAAACAGTAACCAAAAAGGAAAAAGGGAGCTAGCATCAGGAAGTCACAAAAGACTGGAGATGTAGGGAGTTTGGGCTTACTCAAACACATTTAGACATAGTATATTATTCTACCTGTCTCTGGGCAGAATCCAAACTTCTTGTCGCGGTCATAATCTTCAGTGGTCCCACACCATCGGTATCCATCAGTTCTTCCTTCAGTTGTACAGCTGTCATAGGTGTTTCCTTGAAATTTGAAGGGAAATTTGCAAGGCTGCCCATCGGCATTGCCAGCCATTGTGAAAAGTGCTAGGGAACAAGGAGGAATGAAAGCATAGTGTTGGAAAGGCATTGGCAGATTAATCTATTTTCATTCAGTTTATGACAATCCATTTAAGACCAAAACACCTTATAACAAAAGACGCGAGGCTGGAGACTTATTAATATTATATCTGGGCAGGATGGATCTTCCTAGAGGTTTTCCTTTCCTTAAAAAAGAAAAGAAAAATCCCAGCCCTGTGCCTCCAATATGATAGCGAGATGATGATGGATATGTGTTATGGTGAAGCGAACACTGCTTGTTTTTAAACTTTAAACAATCAGGCACATCAAATCACCTCTCAAAGAAAGATTCCCCCAGGCACTTCCAAGCCATTATAAGCTAATCAAGGTGGTCAGTTGAAACATTCACACCCAGCTCTAGCAGACAAAAGTCCTTTGTCCTACCCTGGTCATTCCACAGATATATAATAAACCCATTTTCCTACTTCCAACAGACCTCACTACCTCTGAGGATGCTTGCCATAGATGCAGGTGAAACGTCAGGAGAAAATGCCTCTAGACCAGGGGTCCTCAAACTTTTTAAACAGAGGGCCAGGTCACAGTGTCTCAAACTGTTGGAGGCCGGATTATAATTTGAAAAAAGCATGAATGAATTCCTATGCAAATTGCACATATCTTATTTGTAGTGCAAAAACACTTAAAAACAATACAATAATTAAAAGAACAATTTTAACAAATATAAACTTATTAGTATTTCAATGGGGCCTGCTTTTGGCTACTGAGATAGGATTGTTGTTGTTGTGTGCTTTCAAGTCGTTTCAGACTTAGATTGTGGTCTGGGCACCACAATTGAAGAGAGATATTGACAAGCTCTTCAATTGTGTAGTCGCCGTCCAGAGGAGGGTGACTAAAATGATCAAGGGTCTGGAGAACAAGCCCTATGAGGAGCAGCTTAAGGAGCTGGCATGTTTAGCCTGAAGAAGAGAAGGCTGAGAGGAGATATGATAGCCATGTATAAATATGTGAGAGGAAGCCACAGGGAGGAGGGAGCAAGCTTGTTTTCTGCTTCCTTGGAGACTAGGACGCGGAACAATAGCTTCAAACTAGGCCTGTTTGATCAAGAAAAAATTTGTTTCTAAAATCGTTTTGTAATTGGGGTGTTTTTTTGTTTCGATATTTAAAATATTTACAAAACTTTCCAAAAAAATGTTTTGTTATTTACGAAATTTCGTAAATATTTACAAAACATTTTTTAAACTCCATTTGCCTAGTATTTTAAATATCGAAATTTTTTCTTGATCAAACAGGCCTAGTTGCCATACCAGTCTGTTTTAACCCCATTAGAGATCTTTTTTGTCGACCAGGAGGTGACAATGTGGCTGGAATGTGGTGACAAATATCCCTCTGGAGGTGGTTTTATCAGCCAAGTTTTACGCAAATACCAAAAAGGGAAAGTGCACAACTTTGCCTAACTTGTTAAAGCATTCAAGTAGATCCCCCATATGTAAACAACAGACCTCTGAGGATGCCTGCCATAGATGTGGGCAAAATGTCAGGAGAGAATGCTTCTGGATTGGTCATACATACAGCCCTGAAAAGTAAACTCACACAACCGGCCTCCCGCGCCATCCGGCTCGGGCTCCTGCGCCCTCCTCCTCCTCCTCCTCCTCCTCCCACTCCCAGCTGTGTTGCAGGAAGTGCTAGGAGGAGGGGAGGAGGAGGGGGGCGCAGGAGCCCGAGCCGGATGGCGCGCGCGCGCTCCGCTCACCTTTACAACCGGCCTCCGCTCCTGCTGTTAGCCCCGCGCGCCATCCGGCTCGGGCTCCTGCGCCCTCCTCCTCCTCCTCCTCCTCCTCCTAGCACTTCCTGCAACACAGCTGGTAGGAGGAGGAGGAGGAGGAGGGCGCAGGAGCCCGAGCCGGATGGCGCGCGGGGCTAACAGCAGGAGCGGAGGCCGGTTGTAAAGGTGAGCGGAGCACGCGCGCGCCATCCGGCTCGGTCTCCTGCGCCCTCCTCCTCCTCCTCCTCCCAGCTGTGTTGCAGGAAGGAAGTGCTAGGAGGAGGAGGAGGAGGAGGGGGGCGCAGGAGCCCGAGCCGATTGGATGGCGCGCGGGTGAGCGCGCGCGCGCCATCCAATCGGCTCCTGCCAGGGTGCACTCACTGCTGGGGTGCTTGGGAGCGCCGGATTGGCTCCCAGGCACCAGCACATGACCACAGCACTGAAGTCAGCACAGCAGCCGCCATTCCATTTACGAGACGAGCTGAAGCTCGTAAAAAAAATGGGGCTGCTGTTTCGATATTTTCAAACCCTTCCGGGTTTGAAAATATGTTTTGATATCGCGTCGGATATGCAAAAAAAAACGAATTAAATACGAAATAACGAATTAACGAAACAAAACCGACAGGCCTATTAAACAATAATGAGATATAATTCTTAGTTTCATAAGGAAGAACTTCCTGACTGTGAGCAGTTCAGCAGTGGAACTCTCTGCCCCGTTGTGTGGTGGAGGCTCCTTCTTTGGAGGCTTTTAAACAGAGGCTGGATGGCCATCTGTCGGGAGTGCTTTGAATGCAATTTTCCTGCTTCTTGGCAGTGGGTTGGACTGAATGGCCCACGAGGTCTCTTCCAACTCTATGATTGACCCTGAGCGAGGGCCAGGTAAATGACCTTGGAGGGCCGCATCTGGCCCCCGGGCCTTAGTTTGAGGACCCCTGCTCTAGACCATGGCCATATAGCCCAAAAAAACCCTACAACAACCCAGTGATTCCGGCCATGGAAGCCTTCGACAATTCTGAGAGAACAAGTATTATAATGGCCCATTTTCAAAGCCTTTCCCCATGTAGTCTCTCCATTGGAAAGCTAATGTTGTGGTGGGGAGACTGAGATGAGTCATTCCCTGGCTACTTAAGCTGTGTCCAGCTGTAGGTCTGGCAGCCTCCATATTTTAAGAGGATGTTTTATTAGCTGAATCAGAGAGCAATTGCAAAGGAAAAAACCCACACACATGGGAACTTCATACAAAGTTGCTTAATACTGGAATAACCGCTGCCAAAAGGAGGTTTTGTCAATCTCTGCACAGAGAGACAAAAAGTGGCAAACCAGACATGAATTCAATGTACTTTTTTCGTCTTTCTCTTTTCAGCAATTCCTTCCAGAGCTCCGAGAGAAGTGGTCAGTAACTTTTGGCTTTATATTTGGGCAGCTTGCAAAGCGCGCCGCCAAAAATAACCTCCATTTCCCCGGATTCTATAAGTAGCCTTTTCTTTTCCCTTGGACCGGTAAGATGGAAAGGGATGCATAATTTCTTGTATGTAGTGTTTTAAATCAATTCTACTTTGACTTTTGTTTTCAGAGTTTTAAAATTGCATTGTGCTTCTTAAAAAGTTTATATGCTGCCTTGAGTTTTATACTGGGAGACAGACAATAATCAATTAATATAATAATTTGTTAATCTATATAAATAAAAATGTAATGTTCGTTTGTGGGACTAACAGAACTCAAAAACCACTGGACAAATTGACACCAAATTTGGACACGATACACCTAACAACCCAATGTATGTCCTTCACTCAAAAAAAAAATGATTTTGTCATTTTGGAGTTGTAGTTGCTGGGATTTATAGTTCACCTACAATCAAAGAGCATTCTGAACCCCACCAACGATGGAATTGAACCAAACTTGGCACACAGTTCTCCCATGACCGACAGAAAATACTGGAAGGGTTTGGTGGCAGTGTCCTTTGGTTTTGGAGTTGTAGTTCACCTACATCCCAAGATCACTGTGGACTCAAACAATGATGGATCTGGACCAAACTCTACAAATACTCAATATGCCCAAATGTGAACACTGGTGGAGTTTGGGGAAAATAGAATCTTGACATTTGGGAGTTTTAGTTGCTGGGATTTATAGTTTACCTACAATCACAGAGCATTCTGAATCCCATCAATGATAGAATTGGGCCAAACCTCCCACACAGAACCCCCATGTCAGCCACAGCAACACGTGGCAGGGGACGGCTAGTCTATATAAATAAAAATGTAATGTTCGTTTGTGGGATTAACATAACTCAAAAACCACTGGACGAATTGACACTAAATTTGGACACAATATACCTATCAAGCCAATGAGTGACCGTCACTCATAAAAACACTGAAAAATGCAGAAGAGGCATAAGAAGCCAAAAAACAAAAAAAACATTACAATGCATGCGCAAACCACATATATGTGCAAACACACAAACACACAAATATATACACACACATATATGTGCAAACACACATATACACAAATATATACACACAAAACAGATATACACAGACTGGGCCAGAGCAACACATGGCAAGGGACAGCTAGTATATTAACAAATTAATTGATTGAGTCCATGATATGGTTAAAACAGGGATGCCAAGGAGTTTTGGAGACTGATAGACTAGAATACTTTTGGCATGTACTAGTTCTGGATGTCTTCAATCAAAAATCTATCCCATTCTATTTCAATACCACTTTTTAATGTTTATATATTTTATATGGATACTATGAGGTCTCCTGCTGGCACAGCAGGTTAAACCGCTGAGCTGCTGAACTTGCTGACCGAAAGGTTGGTGCTTCGAATCTAGGGAGCAGGGTGTGCCCCACTGTTTGGCCCAGCTTCTGCCAACCTAGCAGTTCAAAACATGCAAATGTGAGTGGATCAATAGGTACTGCCTTGGTGGAAAGGTAATGACGCGCCATACAATCATGCTGGCCACATGACTTAGGAAGAGCCTATGGACAACACCGGCTCTTCAGCTTAGAAATGGAGATGAGCACCACCCCACAGAGTGGGACACAATTAGACTTAATGTCAGGGGAAACCTTTACCTTTACTTTACTATGGATAGGATGATAAATATGTATTCATATATATTCTTTTGCTCATTTATAAAACCTAAGTTTCCTCTACTATCGTCAGAAAAAGGTCAAATCGTGGGATTACTGGAAACTGGTTCATATTGGTTCATATTGGTCTACACATAAGGTAGTTCACTTATGGATGCAGATTGAATCATAATATCCTTAGGTTTGCTGAGGTAGACAATAAAATCTTGTAGTTTTCTTTAAAGGCATCCATAGCTTTCTTGCCATAACCCAAAAACTTAAGTGTATATATAGAAATGGTTGATGTCCAATCCAATCTTTTGATATTTCTCAGAATACAAGATGTCTATTTATTTATTTACTTATTTATGATATTTATAGCCCGCCTTTCTCAACCATATGACGACTCAAGGCAGGTTACAGGTTGGCATGATTTGATGCCGTGCAGTCATAAAAAGTGTCATTAAAAATAGTCAACATAACAATATAAAAGCATATATAAAAACCATTAAAACCTGTAGTCACCAATGTCATCTTGTTAAAATCGTTTTCCAGTAACATCGTCTGGCCATTCTATGTTCATCATTCATAGTTTCATGTTATGTATTCCGCTGCATTCTCAAAAGCTTGCTCAAAGAAAGTCAGGAGGGAGGGGGCAGATCTAATGTCCTGGGGAGGGAGTTCCATAGCTGGGGGGACATCACTGAGAAGGCCCTGTCACACTTGCAATGCAGGCGGGATTGAGAGCAGGGCCTCTCCAGATGATCTTAAGCTCCTAGATCAGTGGTTCTCAACCTGGGGGTCGGGACCCCTGGGGGGGTCACGAGGGGGTTTCAGAAGGGTCACCAAAGACCATCCAAAAATGTATATTCTGTTGGTCATAGGGGTTCCATGTGGGAAGTTTGGCCCAGTTCTATCATTGGTAGGGATCAGAATGATCTTTTATTGTAGGTGAACTATAAATCCCAGCAACTAAAACTCTCAAATGCAAGTTCTATTTTCCCCAAACTCCACGAGTGTTCATTCACATTAGGCATGTTGAGTATTCATGGCAAGTTTGGTCCAGATCCATCATTGAGTCCACAGTGCTCTCTGGATCCAGTTGAACTACAACTTCAAAACTCAAGGTCAATGCCCACCAAACCCTTCCAGTATTTTCTGTTGATCATCAGAGTTCTGTGTGCTAAGTCTGGTTCAATTCCATTGTTGGTGGAGTTCAGAATGCTCTTTGATTGTAGGTAAACTATCAATCCCAGCAACTACAACTCCCAAATGACAACATCAATCCCCTGCCAACCCCACCAGTATTCAAATTGGGGCATATCACGTATTTGTGCCAAATTTGGTCCAGTGAATGAAAATACATCCTGCATATCAGATATTTAGATTACGATTCATAGCAGTAGCAAAATAGTAGTTGTGAAGTAGCAACAAAAATATTATGGTTGTGGGTCACCACAACATGAGAGACTATATTAAGGGGAGAACCACTGTCCTAGATAGTTCATAAGGAAAGATATGTTCAGATAGGTCTAGCCACTTATGAACTCCAACACAAATGAATCTACAGATTGGACCAGCGTGGAGAAGAAGACATTAGGCCACAGTGACAATCCTCAAACCACTTTGTTTTCCAGTCATAGAAATCTTCTTAAGGCCAGCAGTGCTAGCATTGGTATGCAACTTACATTCGTGGGGGCAGAATCCGTATTTGCCATCTGTATCAAAGTTGTATGTTGTTGAACACCAAAGGAAGCCATCGTTGCGTCCTGCGTCGGTACAGCTGTTGTATTCTTTGTCATTGAACAAGAAGGGGAATTTGCAGAACTCTCCATCTGCATTGCCATATTTCACCCTCACAACTTGAAAGGAGAGGAGAGAGAATCTGTCAGCAATGGTCATAGTCAAAACACAGCCTTTGTCTGGAGAACGTGTTGAACTTAAAAACAACTTGGTTGCAAACAGAGCTAGCTCAGAAATTACAACAAGAGAAGATCCACCTGGAAGTACTACACAATTAATGTTGTTTCACAATCTGGAGAGCTATTATGTGAGTCTGCAAGGAGCCAGCAGTTTGTTTTTTACGATGACGGTTGAATGAAAAGTAATGCCTCCACCTTCGTAACTCCTCAACAGATGGCACTACTGGTATGCGGCAGGTACTGGATTATTCAATAGACTCTTCTCTACAGTTCCATTTTGGTGGGAAGCCTTAGCATTGAATGGTTGTGTTGCTAAAGTGCAAAGTATGGAACCCTGCACAGTCAGTCAATGCAACTTTAGCAACATGCAGTCATTGAATTCTTAACAGCAGAAGGTGTCACTCCAAAGACGATTCATCAGACAATGTAAGCTGTTTATGGTGATTGTGTTGATGTGAGTACTGTGCATCATTGGATGAGTAAGTTTAAAAATGAAGAGGTGACACCTTCTGCTGTCAAGATTTCAATGACTGCATGCAGGCCCGTAGCCAGGATTTCAATTTGGGGGGGGGGTGAGTTTGTTTTTGTTTCGGGGGGGCTGAGTCTGAGTGAAAGAGGGTCTACCCTAGCAAACCTTTTTGTATCTTTACCCCAATACCCCCATGCATATGGGATATATTGAGTATGGTGATCAGATCATGATATGAATAAGCATAACAGTTTAAATAATGCACCAGTAAGGCCTTTTCGCGAACCACCATGAGAATTTGGGGGGGGGGCTGAAGCCCCCCAAGCCCCCCCCCCCCAGCTACATGCCTGACTGCATGTTGCTTAAGTCGCATTGACCAACCGTCTGCGCAGGGTTCCATACTTCACACTTTAAAAACACAACCATTCAATGCTAAGGCTTCCCACCAAAATGGAACTGTAGAGGAGAGTCTACTGAACAAGCCAGTACCTGCCGCAAACCAGTACTGCCATCTGTGGAGGCATTACTTTTCATTCAACCTCGTATTATTATTAATTGCCTGGTAACTGTTTGGCAGGGACCATAAGCACAAAAGTTGTGGTTTCTGATCCTGCTTAGCCTTCAAAATCGGAGAAGATCTCATGATGGTATGATGACAATCAAGTATAGTGAGCCCTCCAGACCCATGAATTCTGCATGCAATTACTGAACCATCCATAGTTTTAAAACACAGCCCTAAAAATCCCAAAGGCAACCTTGATTTGGCCATTTTATATAAGGGACATCATTTATTATGCTGTTTTATACAATGGGCCTTGAGTGCCCATGGATTTTGAAATCCACAAGAGGTCCTAAAACCAAACCGCAACAGGTATCAAGGGTTCTCTGTATCTAATTAGTTGCAATTAATTCCCTTTTCCATTAATGAAGGCTTAATGAAATTATGTCATAAAAGGAGCTTGGAAGTGTCCCATATCTATCAACATTTGCTATTTCTACATATGCTGAAATGAGCTTGGAAATGTTAGCATATATGCTAAAATATTAATGGTAAATCATTAAAGAAAATTAATACGTTGGTCATAAAAAATAGGGGAAAAATAAAAATTCACACCATTGTTTGATTTTGTTAATTAATTTTGTTTTAAGCAGTTCAATTAAAAATCCTATTAAATATTACTGAAATGATCAATAACCAATGCAAGTAATGAGAATGGTGTTGATTGTTACTCAAAAGGGATGTTGTTGGCTTTTAATGATTCAAATAAATGATTTTTGCCATTATTTTCCAATTGTCATTAAAAATTGTAACAGGGTAAAAGTGGTGAATGAAATTTTAAGGAGTTACGTCCAAGTATCCATGACTGGCATACCCTGTCCTTCACCCAAGGTCCAAAGTTCATCATCATCAAAGTGTGAGTCTCCTCCTACTCCTGGTCCGGGTGCAAACGCATGAGCCAAGAGTCCATCTTTGCCATCAAAAGGGTATCCATCACCGTGTTCTACAAGAAGAAGCAGCATCCAATTAATATGCTATTTAACAGAAGCGTAATATCTAAATGACAAAGATCACTCTGTTAAGGTATGTCTGAATCTTGTCACATGTTTGTCTCTAGAATGATAAACTAGCAATGTAGCCCAGTGTTCTATCAGCTCTATTTGGGCACAGACACTGGATTAAACTTTGAGATATACTACTACAGACTAGACCCTTGGGGGGGGGGGGTCATGAGGGGTTGTCCAACACCATCAGAAAAGTATTTTCTCTATTTTCTGTTGGTTGTGGCAGTTCTGTGTGGGAAGTTTGACCTAATTCTATAGGTGGGGTTCAGAATGTTCTTTGATTGCAGATAAACTATAAATCCCAGCAACTACAACTCCCAAACTCTGGAATGTCTATATTCCCCAAACTCCACCAATGTTCACATTTGGGCATGTTGAGTATTAGTGCCAAGTTTGGTCCATATCTATTATTGTTTGAGTCCACAGTGGTCTCTGGATGTAGGTGAACCACAACTCCAAAACTCAAGGTCAATGCCCACCAAACCCTTCCAGTATTTTCTTTTTTCTTTGAATAAATATTTATTAAACATTTTAAACACCAACACAAGGAAAGAGGGAGAACATTCCAAAAGAAGATAGAAAAGTAGGAAACCCACTCACCATAAGGAAAAATCCATAAAAAGAAATGTAAAGGGCAAGTAGAAAAAACAAACAACAAAAAACAAAAAACAAAAAAATACCGAAAAAATACAAAAAAAATACAAAAAATATAAAAAATATGAAAAATATTTTAAAAAGTACAAAAAAAAACTATACTAAAATGACTTCCACTCCAGCCTCAGGATCTTCATTAAGTAGTTCTTTATCTAATTTATGCTTTCTTATTCTCTGCTATTCTTCTATTTTTTTTCGTAATAATAAAAAAGGGTCCAATCTGTCCTTTTTACCGATTTTCCGGTATTTTTCTTCACCCTTCCAGTATTTTCTGTAGATGATGGGAGTTCTGTATACCAAGTTGGGTTTAATTCCATCATTGGTGGAGTTCAGAATGCTCTTTGATTGTAGGTGAACTATAAATCTCAGTAACTACAGCTTCCAAACGTCAAGGTCTATTTTCCTCAAACTCCATCAATATTCACATTCGGGCATGTTGAGTATTTGTGCCAAGTTTGGTCCATATCTATCATTGTTTGAGTTCACAGTGCTCTCTGGATGTAGGTGACCTACAACTCCAAAACTCAAGGTCAATGCCCACCAAATCCTTCCACTATTTTCTGTAGGTCATGGGAGTTCTGTATACCAAGTTTGGTTCAATTCCATCGTTGGTGGCGTTCAGAGTGCTCTTTGATTGTAGGTGAACTATAACTCCCAGCAACTACAACTCCCAAACAGTGAGGTCTGTTTTCCTCAAACTCCACCAATGTTCACATTTGGGCATGTTGAGTAATCATGCTAAGTCTGGTCCATATCTATCATTGTTTGAGTCCACAGTGCCCTCTGGATGTAGGTGAACTACAACTCCAAAACTCTAGGTCAATGTCCGCTAAATGCTTCCATTATTTTCTGTTGGTCATGGGAGTTCTGTATACTAAGTTTGGTTCAATTCCATTGTTGGTGGAGTTCAGAGTGCTCTTTGATTGTAGGTGAACTATAAATCCCAGCAACTACAACTCCCAAATGACAAAATCAATCCCCTTCCAACCCCACCAGTATTCAAATTTGGGCGTATCAGGTATTTATGCCGAATTTGGTCCAGTGAATGGAAATACATCCTGTATATCAGATGTTTACATGACGATTCATAGCAAAATTACAGTTATGAAGTAGCAACGAAAATAATTTTCTGATTTGGGGTCACAACAACATGAGGAACTGTATTAAGGGGTTGTGGAATTAGGAAGGTTGAGAACCACTGGACTAGACACTTTATATTCTGCCTTGGTTAGACCACACCTGGAATACTGTCTCCATTTCTGGGCACCACAATTGAAGATATTGATAAGCTGGAATGTGTCCAGAAGAGGGTGACTAAAATGATCAAGGGTCTGGAGAACAAGCCCCAAGAGGAGCGGCTTAACGAGCTGGGCATGTTTAGCCTGAAGAAGAGAAGGCTGGTAGGAGACATGATAGCCATGTATAAATATGTGAGATGAAGTCATAGGGAGGAGGGAGCGAACTTGTTTTCTGCTTTCCTGGAGACTAGGATGCAGAAAAATGGCTTCAAACAACAAAAAAGGAGATTTCTGAACATTAGGAAGAACTTCCTGACTGTGAGAGCCGTTCAGCCGTGGAACTCTCTGCCCCGGAGTGTGGTAGAAGCTCCTTCTTTGGAAGCTTTTAAACAGAGGCTGGATGGCCATCTTTCGGGGGTGCTTTGAATGCAATTTTCCTGCTTCTTGGCAGGGGGTTGGACTGGATGGCCCATGAGGTCTCTTCCAACTCTATGATTCTATGTGAGAGGTGGACTGTATAAATATCACAGCACAAGTTTTTCTTGGTTTTTATGCCTGTTCCTGGAGTTATTTGTAGCACTGATTCAGAAAATTGCATTGGATAGATCGCATGAGCTCTAATTTCTTAGATATGGTTATCATGGTTTTGTATGGGTCCACAGATGGGGATTGGTAGATGGTATATGTTCTGTATCTCAAAAATTAGAGCTAATAGGGGAGAAAATGGTGCCATTTTTGGAAACAGCAGGTCAAATACACCCAGAAATAGGGCTAACATTTGAGGCACCAAAGTGTGAGTTGGTCCTTCATATATTATGTTGGATAAGACCAAAGTTCTGGCCTACTTCCAATCTTGATCACATTATATTGGAAATGCAGTCCTTCCCCATCAATACTTTTGCCCACCAACGATGACTTTGAATGTGGATATATGAATCAGCTCATGTATCTTTTGCCCTGAGTTTTCCCAAGTCTTCATGGGTCAAAGACAGTGCTTATTTCACTGTAAGCTTTTCTTGGAGAAGAAAAACATCCTGGCAAGGGGATAACCTTGTTATTCATCCTTTTGTGACCACTGGCCTGGCTGCTGTCCTCTCCATAGTTGCTTTTGCATCACTGTGGGCTTTTTTTTGGTCAAAGCAGATGCCACTTGAAACAAACAGCAGTCTCTTGAAGCCTAGACCTCCATTTGGCTCCAGCGATACTGAATTAGATTGACATGATGGGAAAGCAGTTGAACATAGCAGCCCTTTCTTATACAAGGTTACCAACTACGAGTAGAAAAAAATCCAAATAAGGTTGATTCCACTCTTTTACTTAATGGAAATTCAAATAACATCTAGATTGCTTTCTTCTCTCCAGGCAGCCATATTTAACTAAGTCATACAATTTAAGGGCTGATTGTGATGGATCCAGGGTTCATAGGATGAAATAAGTGGAACTTTTTGATGACTTGGAACTTTATGTCACGATGTCAGGGCTCTGCCAATATTTAGGGAGAGATGAACCAAACTCCCAGTTTGTATCAAGCAGTTTAATTACTTTCTGGCTATTTTAATGGAACAAAATATAAAACATAAAGATTGCACTCAGCCACAGAATATAAAATAAAACAGTTAACACTGTTGTAGGTTCAAGATAACTCCATAGTCAAAAGGTCCAGTCCAGTGGTCAAACGCCGAGAGCTCAGTCAACAAAGTCCAGGGATAATAGAATCATAGAGTTGGAAGAGACCTTGTGGGCCATCCAGTCCAACCCCGTTCTGCCAAGAAGCAGGAAAATTGCATTCAAAGCACCCCCGACAGATGGTCATCCAGCCTCTGTTTAAAAGCTTCCAAAGAAGGAGCTTCTACCACAGAGTTCCACTGCTGAACAGCTCTCACAGTCAGGAAGTTCTTCCTAATGTTCAGATGGAATCTATATGGAATTATAGTGATGCTATAATTATTCTGAGTACCGCAGGGTTCTGTCCTGGGCCCCTTCCTGTTCAACATCTTTATTAATGACTTAGATGAAGGGTTGGAAGGTAGGAACATCAAGTCTGCAGATGACACCAAATTGGGAGGGAGAGCCAATACTCCAGAAGACAGGAGCCGAATTCAAAACGATCTTCACAGATTAGAGATTATTGACCAAAACTAACAAAATGAAGTTCAACAGGGACAAATGCAAGATACACCGCATAGGCAGAAAACATGAAATGCAAAAGGTACAGAATGGGGGACAATGCCTGGCTCGAGAGCAGTACGTGTGAAAAAGATCTTGGAGTCCCCGTGGACAACAAGTTAAATATGAGCCAATAATCTGATGCAGCAGCAAAAAAAGCCAATGGGATTTTGACCAGCATCAATAGGAGTCTAGTGTCTAGATCCAGGGATGTCATGCTTCCACTCTATTCTGCCTTGGTTGGACCACACCTGGAATTCTGTGTCCAATTCTGGACACCACAATTGAAGGGAGATATTGACAAGCTGGAATGTGTCCAGAGGAGGGCAACTAAAATGATCAAGGGTCTGGAGAACAAGCCCTATGAGAAGCGACTTAAAGAGTTGGGCATGTTTAGCTTGAAGAAGAGAAGGCTGAGAGGAGACATGATTGTTGTTCATTCATTCAGGCGCTTCTGACTCTTTGTGACCTCATGGACCATCCCACGCCAGAGCTCCCTGTCAACCGTCACCACCCCCAGCTCCCTCAAGGTCAAGCCAGTCACTTTAAGGATGCCATCCATCCATCATGCCCTGTAAGAGGAAGTCATAGGGAGGAGGGAGCATCCTTTTTTTCTGCTGCCCTGGAGATTAGGACGCACTGGAACAATGGCTTCAAACTACAGGACAGGAGGTTCCACCTGAACATTAGGAAGAACTTCCTGACTGTGAGAGCTGCCCCGGAGTGTGGTGGAGGCTCTTTCTTTGGAGGCTTTTAAACGGAGCCTGGATGACCATCTGTCAGGGATGCTTTGAATGTAATTTTCCTGCTTCTTGGCAGGGGGTTGGACTGGATGGCCCATGAGGTCTCTTCCAGCTCTATGATTCTATGATTCTTTGAAGCAGAAGTGGGACCAAAAACATGAGAATGTGAAAGAAGGAAGCCCAGGGCATCAATGCTGTGTTCTTTCCAGAACTAAATAAAACATTGTTGTTTTTCCTCATTGTGGTGGACCTTCACGTCATTTCCAACTTATGACAACCCTTAGGTGAACATATCTCAGAGATTTTCAGGACAGAGAGTGTATGACTTGCTCAGGATCACTCAGAGGTTTTCATGTCTCATGGTGGGGAAGAGTTTCATGCATGAAGAGACAGATGGAGGAGAGAGAAGGATGAGTCAGAGGGCTGGATTTATCCCCAAGTAATACTATTACTATTTTGATATCACAGTCTAACAAGTTTTGGACCATCAATGATCTGGATGTTCTCCAAGAATCTAGGAATTAGGGAGGGATGGGATACCAAGGCATTATGTGTTCCAAGCTATGCCACTTTTTCATAATGGTGATATTATTATGCTGTCTATGGCAAGATGCTACATTAGTCTGTTTGGAGTTGCTTCCAGAGTACCCATTATTATTATTTACCCCATCGTCCAAAATTGATCATGATATCTGCTTCCCCATCATGAATTCGAGAGAAACTCAGTGGTGTGACATCACTCCAGACTTTGAAGGCTCGGGCAAAAGCATCATCCACTGTTTCTGAGTCCAGATCTGGAGTATATCCTAAAATCCTAAACAATAAAATAAAGAAGGAAAAAGACTGGTGAATATGACTAAGAATACCAAGACACATGCAATGTATCTTATTCAAGTAGTGGCTTCCATGGGCAGATCTACTCATTAGATTAGTCAAAACAGAAAAACCTAACAGTGGCTTCGGTGTTTTGCCAGGCTCCAAGAGAAAAAGATAAGAGATTCTAAACTAAAGCAAAACCAATTTCTGAGTGCTTGGAACATAGCTAATGAGGAGATAAAAGTCCCAAGTACAGGATATGTAGTCAGATAAAACATCATTTGGAATCAAGTCAAGTTCTCATCCTTGTTTCATGGAACCCTATCTTGGAAGATTCATGTTTAAGTGCCTTTTGTTTCATGGTCTTGATTCTTGGATTCTATTGTTTTGAATTCATGTCTCGGATTCATGTTTCCTGGTTTCTTGGATTTTATTAGAAAAGTTTTGACTTCGTTTTCATGGACTTTGCTGGACTATTTTCCTTGGACTACTTTGTTCCTGCTTATCTTCTTAACTAATTGGATTTACCTATTTCTTTAAAGTGCTTTTTTACTTTGCTGCTTTTTAATTATCTTCAATAAAGGATTGTTTTTCCTACTCAGCAGTGTGGTGTTTAAAGTCAGAGGGCTTTTCCTGTTCTGGAGTGCAATAAGTGTCCTATTTGTACCTCAGGCCAAATGTAGTTCCCTGGATATATTTTGGATTACATTAAACTCAAGATTTTACCTGTATGATCACTCTCATACAAGAATTGTGAGTAAACTGATTTATTGCAATATCCTGGTGTTCTCGAGTTGTTGTCATTTGCTTGCATGTGTTTTGGATTTTGGGGGAGGCTGTATTGTTTTTGAATCAGCAGACTGACCTAAAGGTTTAAAGACCTTTGCCCATGTTATTCTTTGTTTTTCTTCATGCTCTCATTTATTTATTATTAATTTATTTAGAGCTTTTATAACCCGGTTTTCTCAACCTCCGAAGAGGGACTCAGGCCGGCTAACAACAGAAAAATCATACATAATAAGCTAAAACATAATAACATCATAATACATTAATACATTAAAATACATTAAAATACAGATCAAATAATTACATACAGCCAAATCGTCAAGGTAAAATCACAAATTCATCACCATCTGCCAGTGTGGTCAGCCGTTATTGACTCGATCATCATTCTGCAAATGCTATACCCCAGAGCCAAGATTTTACCAGCTTTCTGCAAGTCAGGAGGGAAGGGGCAGATCTAATCTCCGACAGGAGAGAGTTCCAGAGACAAGGGGCCACCACCGAGAAGGCCCTGTCCCTTGTCCCCACCAGATGCGATTGCGAAGGTGGTGGGACCGAGAGCAGGGCCCCTCCAGAAGATCTTAACAACCTTGATGGTTTGTAGGGGAGAATCTGTTCGGACAGGTAAACTGGGCTGGAGCATTTTAGGGATTTATAGGTTTAAATTGTGCTCGGAAGCTAATTGGCAGCCAGTGGAGCTGGCGCAACAGAGGAGTAGTATGCTCCCTGTACCCCGCTCCTGTTAGTAATCTGGCTGCCGCTCGTTGGACTAGTTGTAGCTTCCGGGCAGTCTTCAGAGGCAACCCCACATAGCGTTGCAGTCTATACGGGATGTAACCAGAGCATGGACCACCGTGGCCAAGTCAAACTTCCCAAGGTACGGGCGCAGTTTTAATTGTGCAAAAGCTCTCCTGACCACCACCGAGACCTTGTCAGATTTTGTAGCACTCTGTTTGATGCTGGTCTTTGCATATTCAGGCATTAGAATCATAAAAAACAAACAGTTCCACATTGCGCTCACTGGAACTTACTCCTGAGTAAGAAAGTTTACATTTGTAGTCTCCGACATGTCTATTCTATCTCTCTCTTTCTCTTTCATTCTTTGCTTGCCTGCTTTGGTGACATTGTTCATTTTTGCCTTTCAACATCATCTCTAGGAGTGTGAGGGGGGAAAGGGACACATGTAGAGACACTAAACACTGAGCCTTGAGGCATCAAGTGATATGGAAATCATTAAAAGACTCCCACCATACATCCTCCATCTAAAACTGATCCAAGCAGACTTTTAATGGACGATGAAGCGCTTGTTAAAATATGCGCAGTCCAAATCGCTCTGTAATTTCTGGTCTGCTTTCTTTCTGCAGACATAACATGGCTGTGGGGTTAATATCATCTCCAGCTAGAAATGCCAGATCAACTTTAAAAGCAAGCAAGCAAGAGAGAGAGAGAGAGAGAGAGAGAGAGAGAGAGAGAAGCAGACACTGTGGAGCCTGCGGTGTTTTGTTCCATGGACGAATAGCAGAATTTGGAAGAAAGGAGTAACCATTATTATGCTTTTTTTTTGAAGTCACGATGTTCTGGAATAATGGGACAACCGTTGAAAGAAAAAAAATGTTCTTGCTAATAAAGAATACGAAACATTTAGGAATGCTCTAGTTACAGAAAGACTACTTGATTTGCAAAAGCTGCATGGTTTGTTCTACCAGAAATTGACCATAGAATCATAATATAAGACCTACTACTACTACTACTACTACTACTACTACTACTACTACTACTACTACTGATTAATTGATTGCCTCTCCTGATGGTTCGAGGCAGGGTACAACAAAGTCAAAATATCTGAACATAAAAATGCCTAGAGAAATGTTCTCTCAAGGAATCTAGGCTTTCCATCTTGTCTGTGGTCAACTTCCATCACTCATAAACCCCTCCCAAAATATAGCAGAAAGGACTTAAAACCCACTAAAAGCTAATTGATGATACAGCGAATGTGTGAAAATGACAGCTCTCAGCATCCCCAAAATCCAGAACCTTTAGGGGAGGAGGATGCTCCAAATGCACTGCCTCCAAGCTGCAAGCTTGCTTCTCCTTGGATTTCTCTTAGAGCATCCGAATCTGTACATATTTCCTATTCCTGGACTGCAATTCCAAGTAATCCTCCAGATAGATGAGATATATAGATTAGATAGAGAGATATAGTAGGTAGATAGATCAATAAGGAGGACTGCTGCGAGTTACAGCCCAAGGAAGAAAAGGAAGAAAGGAGAGAAAGAAAAAGGGAGGGGAAGGAAGGAAAGAGGTAGAGAAGGAAGGAAGGGAAGGAAGGAAGGAAGGAAGGAAGGAAGGAAGGAGAGAAGGAAAGAAAAAAGGGAAGGAAGGAAGGAAGGAAGGAGGAGAGAAAGAGGGAGGAGAGGTTAGACACAGCAACGCGTGAAGGGTACAGCTAGTATCTATATAAATAAAAATGTAACGTTCAATGTATTGTCGAAGGCTTTCATGACCGGAATCACTGGGATGTTGTAGGTTTTTTCTGGCTATATGGCCATGTTCTTGAGGCATTCTCTCCTGACATTTTGTCTGCATCTATGGCAAGCATCCTCAGAGGTTGTGTGGAACTAGGATGAGGATGCTTGCCATAGATGCAGGCGAAACGTCAGGAGAGAATGCCTCTAGACCATGGCCATATAGCCCGAAAAAACCTACAACAACCCAATGTAATGTTCGTTTGTGGGATTAACATAACTCAAAAACCACTGGACGAATTGACACCAAATTTGGACACAATACATCTATCAGGCCAACAAGTGACCATCACTCATAAAAACAATGAAAAGCACAGCAGAAGAGACTTAAAAAGCTAAAAAACAAAAAAAAATGCATTACAACACATGCATAAAATCACATATATACAAAACACACATATATACACATATACACAAACATATAGACATATATACACGTACGAAACACATATACACAGATTGGGCCACAGCAACGTGTGACAGGGGACGGCTAGTTAAGAAATTAATGATTTTCTTCTCGGACTAACTGCTTTACACAGAAGGATTTGCATGATCATGCAACATACCTGTATGTGATCAGATTTTTCTCCCATTTTGGTTTTCTTGGGAAGAAATTGTAATTGGCTACATCTGGGTTGCCGCAACGAGGCTTCCTCATGGTTTCTACAGTGTTTTGATCCAGTTCTCCAGTCTGAGGAAGCCCGAAGAATTTCTGCATTTTCTTCAAAGTATCTTTCAGCACAAAGAGATTGCAGCTGTCTTGGGGGCACCCATAGTACTTGTTGAGGTATTGCTTTTACAAAGAAGAAAACAAAATAGATACAAGTGAATGGGGTTTTTTTTCAGTCTGAAAACTCACTTGATCACATAGGCTGGATTTACACTGTCATATAAAATACAGATTATCTGCTTCGATAATCTGTATTACATGTCAGTGTAGATCCAGCCCTAGGGTGAGTGTGAAAATTACTAGATGATCAGAATGGTGATGATGGCAAATCATAGAGTTGGAAGAGACCTCATGGGCCATCCAGTCCAACCCCTTTCTCCAAGAAGCAGGAATATTGCATTCAAAGCACCCCTGACAGATGGTCATCCAGCCTCTCTTTAAAAGCTTCCAAAGAAGGAGCCTCAACCCACTGGAGCATTGCAGTGCACCCAAATACCTGGGATTCACTCTGAACCATGCTCTGACCTACAAGAAGCACTGCCTGAATATCAAGCAAAAAGTAGGTGCTAGAAACAATATCATACGAAAGCTGACTGGCACAACCTGGGGATCACAACCAGACACAGTGAAGACATCCGCCATTGCGCTATGCTACTCTGCTGCTGAGTATGCATGCCCAGTGTGGAACACATCTCACCACACTGGATGTGGCTCTTAATGAGACATGCCGTATTATCACGGGGTGTCTGCACCCTACACCACTGGAGAAATTACACTGTTTAGCCGGTATTGCACCACCTGACATCCGCCGGGAAGTAGCAGCCAATAGTGAAAGGACCAAGGCAGAGACATCTCCAGCTCATCCCTGTTTGGGTATCAGCCAGCACGTCAACGACTTAAATCAAGAAATAGTTTTCTAAGATCTACAGAGACACTCGCTGGAACACCTCAGCAAGCGAGAGTCCAAAAGTGGCAGGCCCAAACCCAGAACCTCAATCAATGGCTGATACCAAATGAGACAATTTTATGTAAAAATAATAAAAATAATAATAATAACCTAATGAGAGACTCCCCCCTGGGCACACAGAAAACTGGGCGACTTGGAAGGCGCTGAACAGACTGTGTTCTGTGTTCTAGATGAAGAGCCAACCTCAAAAAATGGGGCTACAAAGTGGAATCCATGACATACGAGTGTGGAGAAGAGCAAACCACTGACCACCTGCTGCAATGCAACCTCAGCCCCGCCACATGCACAATGGAGGACCTCCTTGCGGCAACACCAGAGGCACTCCAAGTGGCCAGCTCCTGGTTAAAGGACATTTAATCAACTACCATGCTTCCAAACTTTGTGCTTTGTTTGTTTGTTTGTTAATTTGTTTAAAAATGCAATACAACTGTTCGGTTTGCTCCTGACATGATAAATAAATACAATATGAAATTATAGCACTATGACTCTACTTCAGCTGCCATGACTGCATCCCAATATTGTGAGACACTAAAGTTCTCTGATGGAAAACTCTAGATGTCCCTCCTTAAACTGTCAGTCCATGTATCCATTGAATGGAACCATGGCAATTAAAGAGGGACCATACTGCTATAATTACATGGTGTGAAAGAGCCTTGGGACATCTCAGTTTTTGAAGGAATGGGGTGTGCCTAAATGTGTTATGCACAGCTGTTTCTTCAAAAAGAGGCTTTCAACAATGATGACCCACAGACAAAAATAATTGCAGCCGCCAACCCAGTCTGCCTGTACATCTGTTTATAATTAATGGTAAATCCAGCCATGTGATGATCGGAGCCACAAGTTTCCTATGTTGCATAGTCAAGACTGTCAGTATGCTCCCATTCTTTTGTCGTTTGAGTGGATGTTGACATTTAGAAGTTACTCGGTTGAGCAATGTACAGTTCGCTCTGGAAGTGGAAATGACACATTGGTCTAAAACAAGAATGGGAATTATACAGCCTTCCAGATGTTGGACTCCAAATCCAGCATTCCTTACACTGTATTGTCAAAGGCTTTCATAGCCGAAATCACTGGGTTGTTGTAGGTTTTCCGGGTTGTATGGCCATGTTCTAGAACAGTGGTTCTCAATTTGTGGGTCCCTAGATGTTTTGGCCTTCAACTCCCAGAAATCCTAACAGCTGATAAACTAGCTGGGATTTCTGGGAGTTGTAGGCCAAAACACCTGGGGACCCACAGGTTGAGAACCATTGTTCTAGAAGCATTCTCTCCTGATGTTTTGCCTGCATCCGTGTCAAACATCCTCAGACGTTGTGAGGTCTGTTGGAAACTAGGAAAATTGGGTTTATATATCTGTGGAAAGTCCAGGGTGGGAGAAAGAACTCTTGTCTGTTGGAGCTAGGTGTGAATGTCTCAGTTGGCCACCTTGATTAGCATTTGATGGTCTTGCAGTTTTGAGGTGTGGCTTGTTACTGCCTGAAAAATTTCCTTGTTGAGAGGTGACCAGGTGTTCCTGATTGTTTCCTGGCTGGAGTTCTCCTGTGTTTGAATGTTGTTCTTTATTTACTGTTATAATTTTAGAGTGTTTTTAGTACTGGTAGCCGGATTTTGTTCATTTTCATGGTTTCTTCCTTTCTGTTGAAATTGTCCACATGCTTATGGATTTCAATGGCTTCTCTGTGCGTGACATGGTATTGTTAGAGTGGTCCAGCATTTCTGTGTTCTCAAATCAAGGAACATGAAAGGCACTGCAGACTAAGTCAACTGGAGAAGTCAGCAATAGTAGAGGATCTGATGAACCAACCTGGACACAGCATATTATTGGAGAACACAGAAATGCTGGACCACTTTCACAACCAGCATGCGAGGCTGGAGGGAAGCTCACTCTAGTGAGTCCCTTCAAAGCATGGGAGTCCTGTGTGGGAGGTTTGGCCCAATTCTATCATTGGTATGGATCTGAATGCTCTTTGACTGTAGGTGAACTATAAATCCCAGACAACAGTTCTTTCTCCCACCCCGGACATTCCACAGGTATATAAACCCAATTTTCCAGTTTTCAACCTCTTAAGATGCCTGCCACAGATGCAGGCAAAATGTCAGGAGAGAATGCTTCTGAAACATTTCCATACAGCCCGAAAAACCTACAACAACCCAAACCACCAGGATTCACATTTGAGCATATTGAGTATTCCTGCCAAGTTTGGTCCATGGGAGTTCTGTGTGCCACGTTTGGTTCAATTCCATCATTGGTGGGGTTCAGAATGCTCTTTGATTGTAGTGAACTATAAATCTCAGCAACTACAACTCCCAAATGTCAAGGTCTATTTCCCCCAAACACCACCAGTGTTCACATTTAGGCATATTGCCAAGGTTGGTCAAGATTTGAGTCAACAGTGCTCTCTGGATGTAGGTGAACTACAACTCCAAAACTCAAGGTCAATGCTCACCAAACCCTTCCAGTATTTTCTGTCGGTCATGGGAATTCTGTGTGCCAGGTTTAATTCAATTCCATCATTGGTGGGGTTCAGAATGCTCTTGGATTGTAGTGAACTATAAATCCCAGCAACTACAACTCCCAAATGTCAAGGTCTATTTTTCCCAAACACCACCAACGTTCACATTTGGGCATACTGAGTATTCGTGCCAAGGTTGGTCAAGATTTGAGTCCACAGTGCTGTCTGGATGTAGGTGAAACTCCAAAACTCAAGGTTTATGCTCACCAAGCCCTTCCAGTATTTTCTGTTGGTCATGGGAATTCTGTGTGCCAGGTTTAATTCAATTCCATCATTGGTGGGGTTTCAGAATGCTCTTTGATTGTAGTGAACTATAAATCCCAGCAACTACAACTCCCAAATGTCAAGGTCTATTTTCCCCAAACACCACCAGCGTTCACATTTGGGCATACTGAGTATTTGTGCCAAGGTTGGTCAAGATTTGAGTCCACAGTGCTGTCTGGATGTAGGTTAACTACAACTCCAAAACTCAAGGTCAATGCTCACCAAACCCTTCCAGTATTTTCTGTTGGTCATGGGAATTCTGTGTGCCAGGTTTAATTCAATTCCATTGTTGGTGGAGTTCAGAATGCTCTTTCATTGTAGGTTAACTATAAATCCCAGCAACTACAACTCCCAAATGAGAAAAATCAATCTCCCTAACCCCACCAATATTCAAATTTGCACATATCGGGTATTTGTGTCAAACTTGGTCCAGTGAATGAAAATACATCCTGCATATCAGATATTTACATGACGATTCATAACAGGAGCAAAATTACAATTATGGAGTAGCAACGAAAATAATTTTATGGTTGGGGGTCACCACAATAGGAGGAACTGTATTAAGGGGTCATGGCATTAGGAAGATTGAGAAACACTGCCATAAATGGCAGAAAACAGAAAACCTGATGGCATGTAGACACATGCACTGTAAGCCTCAGCAAAAGTTACCTCTGAGGAACCAAACACAGGGTGCTTGTGTTGGGTTGCAATGCTATGAGAGAAGCCCCTACTGAGCACAAGGGGAGTCTTCTTCAGAGGAAACATTCCTAAGATTGCACTGGACAAGCTAGTATATAGATCAGTGTTTCTCAACCTTCCTAACGCCACGACCCCTTAATACAGTTCCTCATGTTGTGGTGACCCCCAACCATAACATTATTTTCGTTGCTACTTTATAACTGTATTTTTGCGGCTGTAATGAATTGTAATGTAAATGTCTGATATGCAGGATGTATTTTCACACACTGGACCAAATTTGGCACAAATACCCAATACACCCAAATTTGAATACTGGTGGAGTTGAGGGAGATTGGTCCATATCTATTATTGTTTGAGTTCACAGTGCTGTCTGGATGTAGGTGACCTACAACTCCAAAATTTAAGGTCAATGTCCACCAAACCCTTCCATTATTTTCTGTTGGTCTTGGGAGTTCTGTATACCAAGTTTGGTTCAATTCCATGGTTGGTGGAGTTCAGAGTGCTCTTTGATTGTAGGTGAACTATAACTCCCAGCAACTACAACTCCCAAATGGCGAGGTCTATTTTCCTCAAACTCCACCAATGTTCACATTCGGGCATGTTGAGTATTTGTGCCAAGTTTGGTCCATATCTATCATTGTTTGAGTCTACAGTGCTCTCTGGATGTAGGTGAACTACAATTCCAAAACTAAAGGTCAATGCCCACCAAACCTTTCCAGTATTTTCTGCTGGTCATGGGAGTTCTGTGTGCCAAGTTTGGTTCAATTCCATCGTTGGTGGCGTTCAGAATGCTCTTTGATTGTAGGTGAACTATAACTCCCAGCAACTCCAACTCCCAAATGACAAAATCAATCCCCTCCCAACCCCACCAGTATTCAAATTTGGGCGTATCGGGTATTTTGCCAAATTTGGTCCAGTGAATGAAAATACCAGATATTTACATTATGGTTCATAACAGTAGAAAAATTACAGTTATGAAGTAGAAATGAAAATAATGTTATATTTGGGGGTCACCACGACACAAGGAACTGTATTAAGGGGTCGCGGCATTAGGAAAGTTGAGAACCACCAAAGTAAACAAACAAACAAACAAACAAACAAACAAACAAACAAAACTGTTATTGTGAACAGAAACTTTTTACGCTCAGTACCAGGGTCTTTTTGTTAAATCCCCTGATATATTAGTATGTTGTCTGTGAACACAGTTACAGTCTGACCATTTCCTACTCCCCCAAAATGTACTCTTGTAATTCTTCAAAAGTTTAAAAAAGCAGAAACGGATCTTTGCATTGGCAAACTGATCAGATTACTTTCCATTTCTTGTCCCCAAACCAGTAATTTTGCACTTCCAAAGTGATGGTTACGGCTTCAGACTGAGTCAACAGGACAGAAGACAATGTTTCTTCTGCAGGACATAAGGGATGTCATTAAATCAAACTTACCAAGGCCAGTTCTTTGTCTGTTTTGGGAGAAACATCCCCTGGAAACTTAATGATGGGCGATGGTATCAGTTCTCGGCCTGCTACGTCTTCCGAAAGCCTAAACGTCGGTGGTGGAGGAGCTGACGTCGGGTGGAAGATGGAGAGTTGGAGCAAAAGGACTTTGCAAATGCACCCAACAAACTTGAAGGAAAGATGGAGCTCCATTCTGTTGAAAATCCTATTCGTTTCTTGTGTCCTTTCTTTTTCTCCTGGGAATTGCTTTCCCACTTTGTCAGTGACTCGAGTTGTTGTAAAGTCCCATCCGTTGCTTATCAGCAGTACATCTTCTCCTTCTGCGGGGCTCTCTGCTTTTGCTTGCTCCAGCAATTCCTTTGTATGTTTTAAAATATCCAGATGCCCAGCCTCCCAAACCACGGAGAGGAAGTCTGAAAAACCAGTGGAAACATGAAGGAGGGGGAAGAGGGCAGTTGCCAGATGTGTGTTTTGCTGGAATTTTAAGGTAGCAACAGGCAGATTACGGGTTTAATACATGCATTTACATCAGCACATAAAAAGAAAGATGGGGGAGAAACCACAGGAAGTGTTTCTTTATGAGATGACAACTAGACAAATAATTTTCTCTGGGTAAATTGCTATGAAAACAGAACTTTTACAACTGTCTCTTGCAGGATTTAGCAATGTTTTTGGAACTAAAGCACTGCCTGGATCTATGGACATTCGTTATAAAGTTCCTTGGATTGTGGCTGTGGTTCAAGTGAACTAAATCTACTCTGATGATGAGCTATATAATATTTTTTATCTTCTTCAACATGTAGCTGGATAGAGCCACCAATAATGTCCATGCTATCCTTAAATTCTTGAAGGCCTTGTGATGGAATGTAAGAGAAGGGATAGACTGCTCACTTGATCTTTTGCCATAGCTGGATATGAGGCTTGTGTGTTGGATCTGTAATTGGTTAAGCGGATGAACCCAGAGGGTGCTCACTGATTTTTCCTCTTCATCCTGGAAAGAAGTGACGAGTAGAGTGCCAGAAGCAGGGTTCCGTCCTGGGCCATTCCTGTTCAACATCTTCATTAATGGCTTAGATCAGGGGTCCTCAAACTAAGGCCCGAGGGTTGAATACGGCCCTCCAAGGTCCTTTACCCGGCCCTCACTCGTCTGAAATGACTTGAAAGCACACAACAACAACAACAATTCTGGGTTGTTGTAGGTTTTTCCGGGCTATATGGCCATGTTCTGGAGGCAATTTTTCTCCTGACGTTTCGCCTGCATCTATGGCAAGCATCCTCAGAGGTAGTGAGGTCTGTTGGAAGTAGGAAAAATGGGTTTATATATCTGTGGAATGACCAGGGTGAGACAAAGGACTTTTGTCTGCTGGGGCCAGGTGTGAATGTTTCAGCTGATCACCTTGATTAGCATTCAATGGCTTGGAAGTGTTTGTTTGTTTGTTTGTTTCCCCTCTGTTGTTTTGCTGTTGTAATTTTTGAGTTTTTTAATACTGGTAGCCATTGAAATCCACAAGCATGTGGACAATTTCAACAGAAAGGAAGAAACCATGAAAATGAACAAAATCTGGCTACCAGTATTAAAGGACTCAAAAATCACAACAGCAAAACAACAGAGGGGAAACAAACAGGCACATAAAATCACTCTCAACAAGGGATTCCCCCCGGGCACTTCCAAGCCATTGAATAATCTGGCAGATGAATAATAAGGGACTGTGATGATGGATAGGAACTGGACAAGGTGGAACGAAATATGAACTCTGAGTGGCGAACGCTGTGTCTGAGATTGGCTATTGATTGTGTGATATATTGTTGTTTTAATTGTTTTTAATTGTTGACCATTTAATTGCTGGTTTTATATGTTATTGTATTTGTGCAGGCACCAAGATGTGCCTTTTTGTAAGCCGCCCTGAGTCCCCCCTCGAGGGTTGAGAAGGGCGGGGTAGAAGTACTCGAAATAAATAAATAAATAAATACTACCTATTCAAAGGTGATCAGCTGAAACATTCACAGCTAGCCCCAGCAGACAAAAGGCCTTTGTCTCACCCTGGTCATTCCACAGATATATAAACCCATTTTTCCTACTTCCAACAGACCTCACTACCTCTGAGGATGCTTGCCATAGATGCAAGGCGAAACGTCAGGAGAAAATGCCTCCAGAACATGGCCATATAGCCCGGAAAAACCTACAACAACCCAGTGATTCTGGCCATGAAAGCCTTCGACAATACAACAACAATTCTATCTCATCAGCCAAAAGCAAGCCCACACTTCCCACTGAAATGCTAATAAATTTATATTTGTTAAAATTGTTCTTCATTTTATTGTTTTTAAGTGTTTTTTGCTCTACAAATAAGATGTGTGTAGTGTGCATAAGAATTCATTCATGCTTTTTTCAAATTATAATCTGGCCCTCCAACAGTTTGTGGGACTGCGACATGGCCCTCCGTTTAAAAAGTTTGAGGAACCCTGCTTTAAAGTTATTGAAAAGTCATTCATGACACAACTTTAACAGCAATAACAACTCATCAGGTCTGGACAAATATGGACAATTGGAATCTATATTGTAATGATATCGGAAGCATAAACATGTTTATTAATTCTTCAGTCCACTTCCTGACAGTCATCCCATGAAAGGGTTGGCGGAGTATTTATTTTATTTATTGTGTCAGGAGCAGACCAGACAGTTGTGTTGCATTTTTAAACAAACAAACAAACAAACAAACAAAAAAAGTTTGCAAGCTTGGTAGTTGATTAAATGTCCTTTGACCAGTAGCTGGCCACTTGGAGTGCCTCTGGTGTTGCTGCAAGAAGGTCCTTGCGGCTTCATTATTGTGCATTGTGCATGGCAGAGTGACCCATTTCCAAAGAGGCGCTCCATGTAGACTTGGGTCGTTCCCTATTGCACTTCAGTCTTCAGCCACAGGAGATGTGCTTTCTTGAACAATTGGAAGAGCCATGCCATGCATGTCAGAATAATAGTTCTGCATGCCTTGCTCTAGCCGCCGTCCCGCCGTGTGTCAATAGGCTCTCTGCATATCCCACTTGTCATTATAATGTTAGCACAAAGACACCAAGGGGACCTTAATTAATGACTTTGAAGATCTGCTCTTTTATAATTCATGACAGGGCTTTAATTAAAATCAAATGGAGAGTGCTTGAAATAGCAAAGGATTTAAGAGTGTTCTGTCTAAGATGAGAAAACCAATTCCCTCTGACCAATGGTGCTACGGGCAGCATGCAAATTATTCTTCATTAGAGCTGACGAGGAATGCCGGCAATTGCTTCTTCCTCTTGCAAACAAGTCCCTGTTGCCTTGGTCTCTGTGGGTGCGAAAAAGTCTGAAAGACACTTCTTCATCACTATCTATTCTCTTCCAAGGGTTCACCAACAGGTGAAGGAACCAATCAAAGATAGATTGGCACATACTTTAATGTTTGCGTTATTAATTGAGTTTACATAATGGGTATATGAAAGATAACCAAACAAAAAAATCTTTTTGGTAGGGTTGTTATAGATTTTTCGGGCTATATGGCCATGTTCTAGAAGCATATTTTCGCCATTATTATTATTAGGCCTGTGCGGTTTCGTTCGTTAATTTCGTTATTCGTAAAACATTCGTTATTTTTAGCATTTACGAAGCGATATCGAAACACTTTTTCAAACCCGGAAGGGTTTTAAAATAACGAAGCGGCATCCCCCATCCTTTTAACGAGCTTCCGCCCGTTTCGGAAATTGGATGGAGGATGCTGGTGCCTGGGAGCCAATCCGGCGCTCCCAAGCAGTGCACCGTGGCTGTTTTTGATTGGCCGGCGAGCCCTTTAAAAGCGGCTCCGCGCGGCCGTACAGCTCATTGCTGCAGAGGGCGAGGGAGAGAGAAGAGGTCCGGGAGGGTTTGCATTGGGTTGGCTTGGCTTGGCTAGCAACTGGATTGGATTCATTCCTTGCTCATTCCTTGCTTGGATTCATTCCTTGCTGCTCTGAGTGCTGCTTATATTCCTTGCTTGGATTCATTACTTCCTTCGGTTTTTGTGAATTTGTTTCTTAATTTTTTGGTTAATTTTCCATTTTAAAATATTTTTAATATTATTTTTTAATATTATTTTTAATATTATTTTAATATTTTAAAAAATATTCTAAAAAAGAAAAGACTCTTCTGTTGGTGTGTGCTCTCATTTGCTGTCTCCTGCCTGTGTTTGGTCCACATTTGGGCCATTTTTTGGTTAATTTTCCATTTTAAAATATTTTTAATATTATTTTAATATTATTTTTAATATTATTTTAATATTATTCTTAAAAAATATTCTAAAAAAGAAAAGACTCTTCTGTTGGTGTGTGCTCTCATTTGCTGTCTCCTGCCTGTGTTTGGTCCACATTTGGGCCATTTTTTGGTTAATTTTCCATTTTAAAATATTTTTATATTATTTTTTAATATTATTTTTTAATATTATTTTAATATTATTCTTAAAAAATATTCTAAAAAAGAAAAGACTCTTCTGTTGGTGTGTGCTCTCATTTGCTGTCTCCTGCCTGTGTTTGGTCCACATTTGGGCCATTTTTTGGTTAATTTTCCATTTTTAAATATTTTTTAATATTATTTTTTAATATTATTTTTAATATTATTTTAATATTATTCTTAAAAAATATTCTAAAAAAGAAAAGACTCTTCTGTTGGTGTGTGCTCTCATTTGCTGTCTCCTGCCTGTGTTTGGTCCACATTTGGGCCATTTTTTGGTTTATTTTCCATTTTTAAATATTTTTTAATATTATTTTAATATTATTCTTAAGAAATACCAAAAATATTCTAAAAATTCGTTAATATTTACAAAAATTCTTAAATACCAAAACTTTTTAGCGGGGAAATTTTGTAATTCTTTTAAAAATCGAAACAAAAAAACACCCCAATTACAAATCGATTTTAGAACCAAATTTTTTCTTGACCAACCAGACATAATAGCCATGTATAAATATGTGAGAGGAAGTCACAGGGAGGAGGGAGCAAGCTTGTTTTCTGCTTCCTTGGAGACTAGGACGCGGAACAATGGCTTCAAACTACAAGAAAGGAGATTCCATCTGAACGTGAGGAAGAACTTCCTGACTGTGAGAGCCGTTCAGCAGTGGAACTCTCTGCCCCGGAGTGTGGTGGAGGCTCCTTCTTTGGAAGCTTTTAAACAGAGGCTGGATGGCCATCTGTCAGGGGTGATTTGAATGTAATATTCCTGCTTCTTGTCAGGGGGTTGGACTGGATGGCCCATGAGGCCTCTTCCAACTCTTTGATTCTATGACCAAAGAGATCTCCTGACATTTCACCTGCATCTATGGCAAGCATCCTCAGAGGTTGTAACCTCACAACCTCTGAGGATGCTTGACATAGATACAGGTGAAACGTCAGGAGAGAATGCTTCTAGAACATGGCCATATAGCCTGAAAATCTACAACAACCCAGTGATTCCAG